CAAAAGAAGCTATTTTTCTAGGACAGAATTACATCTTAAAAGTCTTGTCTATCTGTGCTTCTAAGAAAAGAATAATATCAACTAGAAAAATAATAATTTTGCATAGTATCCATGATAATTTTCCATAGCAAAATAAACTTTTAGAGTAGAAAACTAACATAAGTCCAAGGAAATACAGTACTAATGTTGTAGTCACGTTATATAAGGTAAAGTGAATACATTTATTAAACTATGCTAACAGTGAAGTGCTATATTCTTGAGTGTCTAATCAAAGAAATAGTTAAACAAAAACAACTTCTATATCAAGAAAAAGGAAAACATACACATTTACATTCATAAGAGCAAATAAAGTACAAAAATGTTCTTTTCCAGTAAACTTCATACATTGTAATGTCTTCAGTGGAGGTGAACTAATAGGTCAATATTTGGGCCTTGCATCAAGAATGTTCCAATTAAAACATAGAGCAATAAGGCCCAGAATTCCAAAAAAAAAAAAAAAAAAAAGGATGAGTATATAATGAAGTAGTTAGTTGACACTTTAAAGAAGTAAAACACATAGAACAGGTAAATTTCAAGAGTGAAAACTTGCTACATACGATCTGCATTAATATAGAAGAATTTGGGAAAGAAAAGAGGAAAAGGGTAGCAATGATTGGCAGAAAACAGGATATACATCATCAGGAAGCTTCAATACACACTAAAGACTTCCTTTCCTTCTACTAACATGTTCAAATAACTGTATTTCAGATGGGATTTCCACCCAATCCCACACCCTAAGCATGATCTTTGATTGCTAAGGGCTTATCCTTCAAGAATAACATCTTTTTCAAAGATGTTACTTCATTGGTCACTTTCTCCAGCAAAAACATTCTCTGTCTTTCTTCACTTTGCTTTTCTATTTTTATCCTAGGACACCGAGGGGGTATAGATCTGGTAATTGTAGAAGCTGGTCTTTGTCTCAACTGAGTCTCAAAGAGAAAATAAAATATCTACTATCTGGACCAGTGACTTGACAACATTCACTATCTAACCAATCTGAAACCCAGAATATAAATGATCTTGATTTTATCAATAATGAAATCATAGTAAAAATAATAGATAGCATTTATTGAGCATGTACTACGTGCCAGGTGTTACTACAGGTCTTTCATGTGTGGATCACATGGACATTCATAATAATCTCAGAACTGATGTTTCCCTACTCACTTCTCCAAACTGCAATGCTCCCTATGAATGCCCATTGACAAACCTCTTGGTCTTCGTAATATTTTGCTCAACTACAATTTCTTTCCAATATTACTCTAATCTTACATTCCTAAATTAAATCAAGGTTGTCACATTTTTAAAAAAGGATTTCCACAAAGACCATCTCATTTACCAAATATTTCCACCCAGCTTGAACAGTGTCATCATCTTTCAATGAACAGGAAATGCAAACATTTTTGCTGCTTTCATGTTAATATGAACACACACTACTCATAGAAGCACTTACTGTGAGCTAGATATTGTTCTGGGTGGTTTCCAGTATACTAACTCATTTAATCCCCCTAAAAACACTGAGGTAGGTACTATTATTACCTCCATTTTATACATGAGAACTCTGAAACTTGCCCAAGGTCACATAGCTAGATTGTAATGCAACTGGAATTTTCAAGGATTATTTTGAATTTTAGTGTTACCTGCAATCATGAATTTCTAAGGTTACAATCTGTAATAAAAGGTCTTCAGCTTTTGCAAATCATGACTGCACTCTCATAATCAGTTTTAAGATTAGAGGTTTGATCTTGTAACACCATTTATCTGTCATCAACACAGAAATGGTTAGGCCGTTCTTATCCTCTTCTCTGAATGCCTGGTCAATACAGAAAAGTGATTTCTAGAATTATGTCTTTCAAATTGGACTATGCAATTAAATTCATTTACAGACACACTGTGCTACATACTATATAAATAGTGCAATTATCTGAAGTGGAAATTGGTGGATCTTTTATGGTAATTAGATGATTTTCAGACTTGTCATGGAGCAAAAGGCAAGGAAGTAAGCTGATCAAGATTGTTCTGAAGTGCCTTTAAAAAAAAAAAAGCTCTATATAAAATGTATGCATATGAATTTTGGATGTATCTTATCCTGAGCCCCAACACTGAAAAAGAACATAACTGCCAATACACCAGATCCTTGTCCCAGAGCAGAATTCAGTATAAATGATGTCAACCCATCCAACCTCACTTGAAGGCAACCAGAGCAGGGGGGCAGTCTGGTAACAGGCCTCCAAGTAAGGACAACACCAAAGCAAAGCTCTAGGGCACTCAGTGCAGTGTTTTCCAAACTGCAGGTTGCAAACAAAATTGTGAAATCAATTTAGGAGGCCACGACCAGAATATTAAAAATTGAAATTCAGCACCATAGAAAATATCAGTCATCTATCACCATAGTAAGGGTGTTTTATGACACTTTTTTTTTTTTTTTGCCAGGTATGTATGTGTTTACTGGGTCACGATATTGTAACATGTATACTTCTAATTATGGATCTTGGTCAATAAAACTTTGAAAGCCACATATCTAAGGAGTACTAAGTACATGTAATTTTCTAGTACTAAGCACTACATTTAATAAAACAGGATTCCTCATAACAAACAAATGGAGCCAGTTGCAGTAAGTGGATCTTAGATCATAAAATGAACCTTACATTTTAGCCAGTCCAACTAATCACCCAACATATGAAGACTTTCTGTAAGATTCCCATAACAGAGCATCTAACTTCTGGAGCAAGTCAGTCTGTTCCTCTGCAAATCACCTCTAACTCTTAGAAAGTTCATGATGTCAAATCAAAACAGAATGTAAGGCTATTGCTTTCACATGACAGTTCTTCAAAGTGTGTGTGTGTGTGTGTGTGTGTGTGTGTGTGTGTTTAAATTTAATTCTATATAACTTTTTCTGAATAAACATAGGTCATGGTAAAAAATTTTTAAAAAATACTAAAAAGCATAGATGGGAAAATAAAAATTATGCAGGATCCATAATCCAGAGCTAATAACTAGAGCCATCCTGGCTCTACCTCCTTAACCTGCTTTCTACTTACTATGCAATAGTTTCCTCCAATTAAATATTCTTCTACGACATGATTATAATGACATCATAACATTCCAGCATATAGTTATACCATAACTTATTTCTAAAATCCCATTAGATAGCTAGATTATTTCTAGATTTTATCATTAAAAAACACTACAATGAACATCCCTGCACATAAGCGATTTCCTTACAATAATCGTCAGATTCGCATTACTAGACTGAAGATATACAAAATGTTAAGGCTTTGACAGAAAATTGTAAAACGTGTCCCAGAAAACTTGTGCCAATTGACTTTCTCTCCTGAGACATAGAAAGTGCCTTTACCCACAGCCTCGCCAACAGTAGACATTAAGTTGTTTTTCATCTGCCAATTCAGTATAAAAAAAAAAGTATCCTGTTTTAACTTATAATGAGATTAAATACGTTTTGACATATCCATTGGACATTTTTATTTCCTCTTCTGTGAATTTCCCAATCATGCCCTTTGTTCAATTATCTTTTGAGGTTTTGGAAATACCTGATTTATCTCTTTAAATATTTGAGGAAGGCTTTCATGCCAAGAGGCACTATTATCTCCATTGATTTGAATATTAGGTGCCGGTCTTCTTTAAAGGAGTTAAAGATGGTATTACTAACGTAGTAACTATAAGCCACAATGTTTTTTTGCTCCTATAAAGATCACCTTGCTGAACAATATATCAAATGGGAATGATAGGAACTTTGCAAATATAGATGGAAAATGGCAAATTTTAAACATTGTTATTCTATGTGTAAAAATCAGAGGTTTCCCTTATACCAAGAAAATCAATAATAGCACTAAAGACCTCTTGTTGATACTCTTTTCCACTCCTTTCCTCCGACCACAAAGAAAATGTTGTCCAGTTCCATTGAGTCTAAGACATTAGGAATGTATACTACCAAAACAATAACAGAAACACAAAGAAGTGATAACAAAAATTTGGCTTATCACTTCCCTTTTGTACCCTAATGGAAATGCAACCACAAATGCCTTCAGGAGCTTCAGAAACAGGCGCCCAAAGAGGAAAATTATACATTTCTAAAAGTAATTTTAAATTTGGAAATTCTTCACCTAAATGAGACATGGACAACTCTAAAGTGCTGCACACCCACCTCATAGAAAATGAGTAATTATCTTAATTTTCTTCCTCTCTTGCACAATCTGCCCTCCCCGACATCCAAGCTAAATATTTACCTAATTTGACAATTCCTACCCCACAGCCTTGTTTCAGGCCTAACTTCTTTTCTGGACTACAGCAATAACTTCCCTGCCACTCCTCCTGCTTCCTGTATTGCTCTTCTCAAATTCATCCTCTATACCCCCTCCAGACAGATGCCTCTCAGATACAAATTCAGTGGCTCCCATTGTTAAAGATCAAGTTTCCAAGCTCTTTGGCGTAGCACAAAAGGGACTTTGGATCTATATAGACCTACACCTCTCCTGGCATTCGGGTCCTTAGAAGATGCTATGCCTGCGCGTGCCTCTGCTTAGGCATACATGGTTCCTTAAGAAAACTTCCTCTCCCCATCAGTCTGCTGACTAATTCTGCAACCGCAAAGACTAAGCCAAAGGCTGACCTTCTCTTTGAAGTGTTTCCTGATCCAATGTTTGTATCCCAGGCCAAATTCAGTGTCCTTCCTTGGTATTCTTATGACAGTCTGGAAAAGTTAACAAATGGATTTTCCTGTCTGTAGGATGCAAAATATAGCCTAGCACGCTGTGGGGCCTTCAGTTGCCCTAATCACATGGCATTATTAATATAATGAACCCTCTTATCTATCTCCCTTGATAAAAGACAAAGCTTCTTGAAGTATACTCATCACCTCACCTTATCTAGCAACCATCAGTGTCTGGCACATAGGGTGTGCTCAATAAATGCTTGTTGGATGAATGAACTTTTAATAAAAATAAACACACTTTTAGTAAAAATAAATAAATGAAATAAATGATATGTTTTCTACAGTTACTGTATTATTTTTATCATGGACAAATCAGATAAATCAGAGGGTAATTACTGGCATTATATATGCTTTTCATTTTGCCAGAGGGGATTTCTATATCCTGGATTTCTAAAATATCAATTTCTTTTACTGCCCTTGAAATAACATTTGAAATTCATAGTTTCTCAGACACCTCTCTTTTGTGTAAGATAACATACATTTACAAAGGCATTTAATCATCAGTTACATTTTTAAATATGAGATACCAACCACAGTTTAGCATGCTGCTCTGTACACAGTAAGTGGTCAATAGATATCCTGTAGCTTTTTAAGAGTCACATCTTGGGTTGTCTGTTTTGGTCACAATTATCCTCTTTTTGGGTGGAGTATAGTGTCCATACATAGGAGTTGGTTCAATAGGTATGTCTAAAGGTAACCCTGGTCCCTGCCAGAGTAGATTGGTTTGAGAACGAGTGCCTAAACCAAGCTAGGCCAACAAGACTTTCTCTGGATTAGGATTAATGAACATTCATTCAAATTAATCTCTTTACAGTAGTGGGAGCTTCCAGAGGTAAAATCAGATGTGGGCTTGAGAGCTGCTGGTGGCCTTGTTCCCCGACATGTGCAGAAACTGAAAGAGTCATTTGTAGTCCAAAGAATGAAGCCAACATGGAGAAAGAAACAGAGATGAGAAGTGGTGAGAGTCCTAGACCAGAGTCCAGGAGATGACTAGAGTCCTGGTTACGTTCCACAACTGGCCCCCAGTCTCCCTGAGACCTGCTGTAGCCCTGCCCTTCCCATAGTTTGGTCATACGAAATCTCCTACTCCCTTCTAATAGAGTCACACAAGCTGGCTTAGAGTGGACTTCTATCATTTGCCAGCGAAAGAATCCTGATGGTATGAATAAACGAGCAACTGATTCACTTAAATGTTCTCCCATTAATTCTTTTAATTGATTCAACCAGATGGTTTGGCATAATAAAGGCATGGGCTAATTTACATGAGATTTCTATTCAGAGATAGTAGGAAGGTATTCATTTTGAAATACATTTCAAGCAAAATAAGTTTCAGGCAACATATTGCCAAGACAAATCTGAAGCATTTGATCACAGCATCACGCATGCAAAATATGTCCTCTTCCCTACAGAAGATTCCCACAAGTTAACTGTAGGTTTGGAATCTCCAGGAACAGCAAAGGCTTCCTGTCTCAAGAGTTCTTTTTGCTTTGGAACTCCTCAATAATGCAAGAGGGATAAGAGGATTTTCTAGAAGTCTAGAAGCGAATTTTCCTTATGAAGGGAACAAAACTTAATGGCAATATGGCCCTGCTTCAGTCAGAGTTGGAACTCAGGTTGGATTTGTGTCTGGACACAAAGGCTACTTGCTGGCACCAGCGTTCCAGAACAGCTGAATTTGGTGGCAGCAGCTGATCAAGCCGCATCCCTCTGGGACAGCTGCTCTTCCAGGCGTGACAGCAACAGCAGAAGAGGCACAGGAGTGCAGATTGGCTGCCTTCTAGGAATCCAAGGTTTGGACAGCACTGACCAGCCCCTCCACCTATGCTGACCATGGGTTCAGGAGGAAGCCAGTGTGGAGACTCACAGCACCCAGCCATAGCTGGTCGTTCTCTGACAGTACTGCCTTGGGGTTCCCAGACCTTAATGAGCAGGTGGCTCCAGGGATGGCTTAAACCTTGGTGCGCTGACTGCCACTGGTGTTCAATCTTCCCTTCCAGCTGCCCTGCTCCACAGCAGACACCTGGTTCTGGGGAGTGACGGGGCTTTTGTCCTGTGGCACTGCCCCATGTTTTCAGGTTTGCTTCTCTTTGGTTTGCTGCTTGGAATCAAGTGCATTGTGCCTTTGGACAGAGCTCTCTCTGGCCTGACCTCTCCCTGATGGGCTGGTGTGTCTTTGACAGGCTGCTGGGTTGAGGCTCACTGTCCTGCTCTGGGGGTTGCGAAGCAATGTCTCTCCTCTGAGACCTGCCCTTTCGATGAACCTGTCCCTTTCTCCCTGGATGCTCCAAGGAGCTGAACTATCCTGTAGTGACTCCGCAGGGCCTCTTCCCTCTGGAGGGGTCTCCCGGGTGAGGGCTGCCTCTTCTGAGCTGGCCGATCGCCGTTGACGGGAGTTTTATTTTCTTGAGATAATCCTCTAAAAATCTCTCTTCCAAGACGGCCCTGGTTTGGACACATCTACATTCCAAGGCAGGTCATTTGTGGGGAGGTCGGTATGGGCTCTTTTTCTGGAATTATGTTGTTTTTTATCTTCTTGTAATTGGGGGTCTCTAGGTGATGACTGGGCATGGGGGGGCTCAGGAATTTCTGGTGTATGGAATTTGCTTCTCTGGTTGCTCGGATCTCCCGAGTTTGTAACAGTTATACACTGAAATACTAGCTTAGACAAGAAACAAGAGAAGGGCTGGGGTTGGGACGGTCGGGCACCATGGCGGGAGCTGGCTGACGGAGGGGTTCTAGCTGCGAGGCTGGCTGGTGGCTCCCAGGCGGTGCCTCTTCCAGAGGTGCCAGTCCTCCAGCCGTCCCTTTCTGGATGGGGAGTTTTTTTTTCCTAACCCCTGTCTGCTGAAGTGGCCCCTGGTTGTGGGGTGAGGCCTGCATGTCTGGAATCCTCCTCCTGGAGGAGCCGCCTGCTTGGGGAGCTTTCCTTTCCTTTGCAGGCCTTGGATCGGGCTGAGCCCCCGAGCTCTGGGGCAGCCCTGGCTCCGGGAGAGGAGCAGGAATGCGAGGGAGTCTCACTTTCTGAGCCGCCTCCTCCAGGGCGGGACTGAGGATGCGCGGTGCTGCTTGCTCCTGGCTGGGGGGACTGATAAGAGGGAGTTTCACCTCACTGACCTTCTCTTCCTGGACTTGCTGAGGACTGTGGGCTGCCTGGGGGTTCAGATTTGGTGGTGGTTTTGAGTGCGGAGGGCTGATGGGAGGAAGTTTACTGGTGTCTGCTTCCCGGGTTGGTGGAGGCCTGGGAGAGGGAGTCATGGTTTGATCAGAGGTTGTTCCTAAAGCCTCTTCCCTGCTGGGCGATAGGAGTTTGAGTGTGGGCCTCCTGCTCTGGAGGGGAGCCAGCACCTGAGGCTGGGGCAGCCGAGTGGGAGCCAGCCGGATTCTAGAGAGCAAGGTCCCTGGGGCTTCCCAGGCCTGGGGCTGCTTGGTATCTGTTGCTAAGTCTTGGGGATGTGGCAGTTCTGGGTGAGGCTTACTGACCCGGATGGCTTCTGATTTGGAGGTTTCCTCCTTCAGAGCTTGCTGAGAATCTCCAGCAAGTTTCTGCACCACCTCAGGGTGGGAAGAATCTTTTGGAGGATCATGGTGGGAACTGCTGGGTAGATGTTCGTCTGACTCAGTTTCCTCATCCTGAATTCTCTGAGGGCTGAGGGGAGTGGGGCCAGGTGCCTGTGGAGGTTCAGACAGAGGAGGGCCACTGGGGGTTACCTGGGCCTCCCCTGACTCCTCATCCTGGCCTGGCTGAGGGCCTCCGGACAGGGGAGGGGAAGGGTGCGCAGGAGGCGCCAGGGTAGGGGTGATGGGAGACTGCCCCACCTCACTGGCTTTCACCTCGGGGACATCTGTCTCAGCGGCTATCTGTTTTAGAGGAAGATGTGATTGTTGGACATCCTCTTCTGTCGGGTTTAGGGATAGGTCCTGGGCCTGCTGAGGAAGACCCAGTGCCGATGAACTGAGGTGTTGAGGGGGCTCAGGATTGAGATGGCTGTTAGGAGAAAGCTCTTTTTGATGGGTTTCTCCATCCTGAGCCCGCGGTTGGTTCTGGGCAGGAGTTAGGCTCTGATTTTCTAGGTTCTTGGCATGAATTTGCATTCCAGAGAGATGCTCTGTCATCTGGCCATCTGCTTGCAGTTTTGCCAAGCGCCTGGGAGATGGAACCAGGTGTGCTGGTACCCCAGAGAGAGTCTTCTTGCTAGAGGGAGCTCCTGCTTTAATATAAAAAGAAGTTGACTATAAACAGAAGTTAACTAACTGCTTAGAAATTAATAAGAAAAACATCTTTTCCCCATTAGATGCACATAGGCCCTTGAAAGGAATAAAATTACACATATAGGAGAACTAAACCTTCCCTTCTCCTTGAAGATACTAAGTGTCTATAATTCTCTTATTTTGTGGAACTTAGAACAATTTTAGTCAACTGAAAACATCAACTTCAATGAATAAACATAAGAGGTTTATGTCTGGTTCTCATTCACAGAACCAAAATTTACATCCAGGTTTGTGGGTGGTGAGACATTTTCCAAGTGAATGAGATTTTAAATTTATACCAACGTAGAGTATCAGTGCTGCTTTTGATGGTAGAAACTAGAGGATGCACATCCAAGCCAGATGAAGTCTCACTGGTTTGTTTCCTTGTTTAACGGCAGCCCCCTTATATAAGCCGTGAGCTCTGTGAAGCGTTATGTCTGGTCACCAATACCTGGCAAAGGGGCAGGAACTGAGGAAATGGGTGATGAATGCAAGAAGGAAGGAAAGAATCAGCGTGACAGAATCACAAGGCACCATGGCTCAGAGCAGCTGTTCCTGAGGACCCCCATCCAGGCTGCTATCCCCCCACTCACATCCCCAGGCCTCCCCTTGGACTTCCACATCTACCTTGCCTTCAAAAATGGCTCTCAGAGGCCACTAGCAATGCTGGTGTTGCAGAGAGGGGGTCCTCCTCCATTCACCATGACACCAAGTTCTCAGAATGACTGATCTCTGGGACAGTCTCACAGATGCCATCATCCAGCAGGCACTCGTTCAGTGAACTTGTTCCCTACATGGATTCTGGGGGCCCAAATACCGTCTTACCCCAGTCCTAAGGACATAGCTCTGAAATGTGGAGTGGTCAGAGGTGGTACACCAGTCTGGAACAGCCTTGAAGAAGCTAGTTTCAGCTCACTTTGGGGGAGATCTGACCCTGGAACAGCCTTGAAGAAGCTCGTTTCAGCTCACTTTGGGGGAGATCTGATACTCAGAGACTCCAACCCAAATCAGACCTCTGAGGTGACCCAGAGTGATCCATTCCCCAGAGGTAAACCAGGCTCCCAGCCCCCGATCCCCTCCACTGACGCAGATGAGCTTGCACTGCTGGGTTCTCACTGAGCCCCTAGTCTGGACACGCACCCTTTGCATCCTATCAAACTGGTGTTCTCTAGGGAGAGGGTGGGACAGGTGGGAGCAAAGAAAGGCATCCCTCAGTGTGGTTTCTGAGGGGATGTCCTGTTCATCATTTGGAACTCCCTAGTTTATAACAGCTATAAACTGAAATACTAGCTTGGACAAGAAACAGGGTTAAATTGAAAAATTAAACTGTGAAAATATCAAGAATAGGCAAACTCATAGAGAAAAGAAAGTAGATTCGAAGTTACCAGGAGTTGAGGGGAGTAACAGTTTAATGGGTATAGAGTTTCTGTTTGGGGTAATGACAAATTTTGGAAACACGTATTGGTGATGGTTATACAACACTGAGAATGTAATTAGTACCACTGAATTGTACACTTAAATGGTTAAATTTTAAAACATACAATTTTATGTTATGGTATGCTTTTTAACCAAAATATAAAAGTAATTTTAAAAGGTGGAAAAATATCAGAACAGTGAAATCCTGTGCTAAAGCTTCTTTTGCTCCTTAATCTCTTGGTTTACTGTAATCAGACATACAAGGATGTGTTCCCTACTTTTACAATTTAACAATTGACATAACTTGGCAAATCATACCAGGCCTTTTATTAAAGATAAAGGGAAACTTTATGGACTAGTCAACTGCTCAGTTCTCCTCTGTTTGACTCATCATAGCCATCATCATTTCTTTCTACCATTAGTCAGAATAATGATTTGCAAATATAATTTTATTTTATGATCTATATAGCAAGAACTCAGGGTGATAGTTGGTCCAGCTTTCTAAAAACTTTACTGGAAGCACTAACTATCCCAGAAGTAGGTTGTTTAGAGACAAATGGAAAGAAAGACATCCCTTAATACTGAGTTGTGAATATAGTTTTTTCCTTATTTTATATAAACTATTTTATTTATTTGTGCTTTTTAAGTTTTTGGGTATTAGAAATAAATGTTATTCACATTACAATAGGGAAAATAAGATGTGTGTGTATATATATAACATATATATATAAACATATATATAACATATATATAGTTTTTATTTTATTTTATTTTATTTTTTTTTGAGATGGAGTCTCACTCTGTCGCCAGGCTGGAGTGCAGTGCTGCGATATCAGCTCATTGCAACTTCTGACTCCCTGGTTCAAGCAATTCTCCTGCCTCAGCCTCCCTAGTAGCTGGGATTATAGGCACACACCACCACACCCAGCTAATTTTTGTATTTTTAGTAGAGACTAGGTTTCTCCTTGTTGGCCAGGATGGTCTCAACCTCCTGACCTCATGATCTGCCCGCCTCTGCCTCCCAAAGTGCTGAGATTACAGGCATGAGCCATCGGGCCTGGTCAATATATATTTTAAATTAAGGGGATATCTGAAGATTTCAAGGGTTTATGATCACTGTGTACCTAAAGTTACTATTTTATACATGCATTAAGTGAAAATTCAATTAATCCATCCATTGGTGAAAGTTGACATTTCTGGGTCCAGGCTGAAAGATGCTGTACTCAGAACTGATAAACCTTGCACTTCCTTTTATCACTCTGTTCCATTCTCATTGTTAAGAGTAGAAATTCAGCTTGTATTCTTAGTTAAAAATTAGCAATGTAAAATTACAAAACATAAAGCTATGTATTACTACTTCAGATATCTGGGAATAATTTTCAGTTTGCATTGATACAGGATTACCACTTTAAGAAATACAATGGTGTTGGTCATAAGATTTCTGTTTGTACTGATGCCTAATCCAATTGGGAAAAACCTCAGCTCTGGACAGCCAGATTCTAATAGTGCACCATGACATTATATATAGGTTTTTATTTTAAGAAATTGGAGCTCAAAATTATTTCTCCAATCAAGTTAATGGTTATTGGTTAGATTTAGAATAGAAAACCAAGGCTTCATATTTCTAGTCCAGTTTTCTAATTGCTCAGAAAAGCTGTCTCACAGAATCGTAAATATTTTTTATTTCAATTTCTTCCTTTTGACAGCTTAATTATTTTTTAAAAAATTCATTATACTAAAACTATTGTTTATTTCTAGAGGTCCCATTTATATGAGTAATGTGTTTATACACATATATCTAAATTATAGAACTTAAAATCAGAGTGACCCAGCTCAGAGCAGGAGCAATGAGGTGAAGCACCAGCTGGGCACATGACTGTGACTCTGCTGGGGCTCTGGGTCCCTTCCTGGGGAGTACTGATGAGATGTGAGGCCAGCTGGACTTCCTGGGTCAAGTGGGGACTTGGGGAACTTTCCTGTCTTACAAGAGGATTGTAAAACACACCAATAAGTGCTCTGTAAAATGCACCAATTGGCAGGATTCTAAAAGTAGCCAATCGCAGGGAGGATTGAAAAAAGGGCACTCTGATAGGACAGAAAGGGAACATGGGAGGGGACAAATAAGGGAATAAAAGCTGTCCACCCCCACCAGCAGTGGCAACCCACTGGGGTCCACTTCCATGCCGTGGACACTTTGTCCTTTCGCTCTTCACAATAAACCTTGCTACCCCTCACTCTTTGGGTCCGTACCATCTTTAAGGGCTGTAACACTCACCATTAAGGTCCACAGCTCTACTCGAAGTCAGCGAGACCGCGAACCCACCTGCAGGAACCAACTCCAGACACACTGACACTTGTTTTAAGGTAATTATGGTTGTCCCCACTCTCGTGTACTGAACCTGTAAACATCTGGCCCCAACTCCTTGGCACCTTGTTCACAGCCCTGAGACTCAGGAAGAACATCGGCTCTCCTTCTTGTCCCACTAGAGACATCATTAAATGTGTATTAATAAGGACCATGGCCATTAGAACTTTTTAGATACTCACTTGAATAATGTCTGGCCTCTACAATGTTACTTTATGTGCAAGCTTATCCTTAAACCCACAAGTGGAAAAAGTAACTTCCTCAGCAAATTAATTGTCTAGATAAGATAAAGTGGTTGGCTTCAGAAAACACATTGTATTTCAAAATACTAAACATGCCAAAAAAACAAAGGGGCCTTGAGGCTAGTGATTTGATACATTAATTACAAATCTGCCTACCTACCTTTTAAAGATGGAATTCTATTAGTCAATAACTAGATGGCTCAGTTTCAGTTATGAAATGTAACTGAAAGCTATCACATTTTTACAAATTCAGTAATTCACACTTTTCATTAAATCAGCCAAGCCTGACCTCATTAGTCCAAATAAATAAAATTTCATTATACCTGTTAAAATCAAAGTCTATTTTTCTATGCACACATTATCTGGTCTATTAATTTACCAAATGGCAACTGCACCCAATAGCCAGTGTTCCTGATAGTTGTAGAATAAGAAAAGATACAGAGATGGACTCTCACTGGCTGTTGAGGCAAAGTCTTGTTCAAGCCCCACTAATTAGTGGCAATCTCAGATTGAGAAACACACTGTTCTCAGTGACTCAGAGCTGGTCAGGCTCAGGGGGGACTGATTCATGTTTATCCAAACCCACAAGAGGCTGATTTAAAAGCCAGTACACCAATTAATTAATTTACAATGGAGACAAGCCTGGCTCAGGGATCAGGGCAGGGTGAGTAACGTAGGGTACAGCCTCCACAGGAGCAGGTCCACCTGATGGGACCAAATTAAAGATCAGAAGGTTGCTTGATTAGCAAAGAATTAAGGCAAGGGGAGCCCGATTTCCTCAAGAGAAACTTCTACTGAGCTACAGAAGCCTCATTAGGTACACTACACAGTCCTTCTCCATAGAGATGGCTTTCTAAAGAACCAACGCCCAGTGCCGAGATTCCGAGCAGGGCTGGATAAATACACTGACACGCTCCTAATCTAATGTCCCCCAATCCTCCCTTCGTAGACTGAGCATAGTCCTCCAGTCCTCCATTCCTGTCTATTTTCAGACAGGTCAGACTTTGTCCAGGAACATTCTAGTCAGCAGGTCATACCATGGTCACTTCATCTCCTATAGACATATGGAGAAGGAAATTCTCAGCCATTATCTGTTGATTTTTACCAGTTTCACATTGACCTCATTCCAAAACACCAGGGGCCCTCAACCTGGGAGAAGTGTGCAAAATTACAAAACAGCATTGATTTGAAGTCTGGCAAGATCATGACCTGCCCTGCCTCAGTCTGGCAGGATGCAACCTGGTAAACAAAATCCTATTTGGGCAAAAAGTCACAACTGCTAAAATGCAAAGCTGAACATACTTGCAAAACAGCCAGGGTCTCGGGTTAACATTTCACAATATGCAGTGTGTGAATGGGGTTCAGTCCATCAAGGGAAAGTTTTAAAATTTACTATGGTGGCAAAATACACATAATACAACATTGACTATCTTAACCATTTTTTTTGCTTGTTTTTGTTTTTGAGATGAAGTCTCGCTCTGACGCTAGGCTGGAGTGCAGTAGCGCAATCTTGGCTCACTGCAACCTGCTACTCTCTGATTCAGGCAATTCTCCTGCCTCAGCCTCCTGAGTAGCTGGGATTACAGGCATACAGGCATGTGCCACCATGCCTGGCTAATTTTTGTATTTTTAGTAAAGACAGGGTTTCACCATGTTGGCCAGGATGGTCTCTATCTCCTGACCTCGTGATCCACTCGCCTCAGCCTCCCAAAGTGCTGGGATTAGAGGCATGAGCCACCGCGCACAGCCGTCTTAACCATTTTTAAGTGCACAGTTCAGTGGCATGAAGTGTATTCACACAGTGCCACCATCACTATCATCCATCCTCAGAACTCTTCTCATCTTCCCAAACTGAAACTGTAACCATTAAACCACTCCCATTCCCTAGCCTCTGGCAACTACCGTTCTTCTTTCTGGCTCTATGAACTTGACTATTCTAGATACCTCATGTAAGTGGAATCATAAAATAGTTGTCCTTTTGTGACTGGCTCATTTCATTTGGCACAGTATCTTCAAGGTTCATCTATGTGTAGCATGTGCCAGAATTTCCTTCCTTTTTTAAGGTCAAATAAAATTCTATTTTATGGGTTCCTTCCACCTTTCGGCTATTGTGAATAGTGCTGCTAAAAACATGGGTGTGCAGCTCTCTTTTTGAGACTCTGCCTTCGATTCTTTTGGAGGTAGATCAGAAGTGGGATTGTTGGATGATAGGACAGTTCTATTGTTAATTTTTTGAGGAACCTCCATACCGTTTTCCACAGGAGCAACACCATTTTACCTTCATGCCAATAGCACACGAGGGTTCCAGTTTCTCCATATCCTTGCCAACACCTGTTAATTTCTGTTTTTTTATTTTGTTTTTATAGTAGCCATCCTAATAGTTGCGAGGTAGATTCAAGGGAGTCTTTTAAATACATCTCAAAATTCATGTACCAAAATTCTAACTTAGGGCTTTAGAATTCCTGGATTCCAAGGGGGTGCACTCTTACGTATACTACATCATGTGCTGCTCACCATCCATGTGGAAGATAAGGAGCATTAGGTCTATGTAGCAGAACAGTAAACTGAAACTCCGAACAGCAGAGAAGCTGACCCAAGAGAGCACAGGGCTAGGACAGGAGCACCAATCCTATGACTAGCGCTCTTGCCACAATATTCCGCAGCACAGTATTTTGAGGACTGGGGTAACACAAAGAAAAGGGAAAAGAAAACTCTCAGACTAAATACAAACCCGACAAGTAGAACAACATCTCAGCTAAGGAATGAAACTTCTAGAAGGCTGAGTTCTGAGCCGTGAGGTTAACCCTTATCTATTACCTCCATCAAGCCACTGCCCAGCCTGTTCCTGAAGGGCAGTCCCCAGAGGCCCATCATGACCATGGAGACAAGCAGAGTTACAGGTCCAGAAGGCTGACTCATGCTGCTTGTTTTGGGGACAGTTGCCCCAGAAGAAGTACAGGAATAAAAGAGACCAGCTTTAGCTCAAGTGATGAGTACCCAAATAGGAACTCAGATTTGTTTTCCTTTCCATGAAAAAAAAAAAAAAAAATCCTGGCACAAAAAAGATAGGATAGTACCTGCAGTTGTAGCTAAACTCTTGGCAGGTTCCTTAGTCAATCCAAGGTATTCTCTAATGAGCTGACTCAGGTTTTGGTAGGCAACATCCAGATCATCTGCAGCAAAGAGAGTACATTTCAAAACAACAGGATCAGATCCAAAAGAGTTGATGTTTAACTATTGGTGGTAATGATTTGTTTACTGCATTTAATTTTATATATATTATGGTAGAATTTTATATATATTATGGTAGAATTCTAAGATGACCCTAAGGACACATCACCCTTGTATAATCAATCTCCTCCCCTTAAGTGTGCACAGAACCTGTGGAGGCAATGAGATACCACCTCCACGATTGTGTGACATTCAGCAAAAGGGATTTTTGCAGATGTAGTTAAGGTTGTTAATGGGTTGACTTTGGGTTAATCAAAAGGGAGATTATCCAGGCAGGCCCACCCTAATCACATGAGCCGCATAAAAGGAGAGTTCTCTCCAGCTGTTGGCAGAAAAAGAAGTCAGAGACTCAGATCCCAAGGAGGATTCGATGTGCTGGTGCTGGCTTGAAGATGGTGGGGCCACGTGGATGAGACCTGAGAGCAACCTCCAGAAACCGAGTATAATTCTTGGCAGACAGCCCAGTAGAACTAGGACCTCAGTTCTACAACCAAAAGAAACTCCATCCTGCCAACAAGAATGAGCTTTGGAGGCTTATCCCCAGAGCCTTCAGATGAGACCTCAGCCTCCTGATACCCTGAGCAGAGAATCCAGCTATGCTGTACCAGACTTCTTATCTACAAAACTGTGAATTAATAAATGGGTGTTGACACTTTAAGACACTAAGTGTGATAATTTCTATGCAGGAATAGAAAACAAATTCAACTGTGTAATACATTAACATGTTTCAGAGACCAAAAACTATTATTAATAAGTTGAACCATATGAAATTGCTGTTTTCATAGGTCAAAATAGTTGAATATCAACAATTTCATATGGTTCAACTAATGTCCCCTGTCCATCTAGTTCATCTAGCTTCCCTTTCCCCTAAGAGGTAATCAGGTTATTAGTTTTTTGCAGATTCTGCCAGAGAATTTTTTTATGTAGTACAAGAAAATATAATTACATAATTTTTTTACATAAATGATGGCATACTATATTATAAACCTGTCTTTTTTAGTAACTGTATGACTTGAAGATGTTTCCTTATCTGGACACAGAGAACTTTCTCTTTACTTTTTATGACTGTGTAATATAGTGCAGTTTAAAAATATATAGAAATTTGCCAGGCATGGTGGCTCATGCCTATAATCCCAGCACTTTGGGAGGCTGAGGAGGGCAGACTGCTTGAGGTCAGGGGTTTGAGACCAGCCTGGACAACATGGCAAAACCCCATCTCTACTAAAAATACAAAAATTAGCTGGGCTTGGTGGCAGGCACCTGTAATCCCAGCTATTCGGGAGGTTGAGGCAGATGTATTGCTTGAACCTGGGAGTTGGAGAAAGAGGTTGCAGTGAACCAAGATCACGCCATTGCACTCCAGCCTGGGCGACAGGGTGAGACTCTCTCTCCAAAAAAAAAAAAAATATATATATATATATATATGTGTGTGTGTGTGTGTGTGTGTATGTGTGTGTGTGTGTGTGTGTGTATGTATAAATTTCTAGAATATATCTATAGAAATTTTATATGTATAAAAATATATATACATATATATAGAAATTTTCACATTTCAAAAAATTCTCCCATGAACTATCACTTTAAATTAAATGGTCATTTATAAACTAGTTTCTGAAAATATTTGTTTTACACATACATTTTTATGGTTATATTTTGAGTAGTTGGGTTTTTAACCTATGTGTAGATTATAATAAAATTACCTGAGTTTCATATGCCTTTCTAGAAATTTAAATGTGTATTTCAAATTACATATAATTTAACTTTGTTCTCACAATGTCCCCTAAAAAATGAACTCAGTTCAGGCTCATTTTACACCAAATGTTATTAGCTACAATCTTAAAAAATAATTGAGACAATGCTCTCATTAAAACAGTAGAAAATTAGACCTCTTGGATTCTTACCCTTTTCGTGTTCTTTGTGATTCACTGTTACAAGGAAAATAGCTTTTACCCAAGAATTTTATCCCCATGAAACAAACTTTTAATTCAGTAATCTTACATTTCAAAAATAAAACTTTGCTGAAAATTACCAACCTGCATTGATTACTGCATCAAAATATCCCGGAAAATTATGATTAGTTTTAATATAAAGGTCCACTCTGGAGACAGCAAATTCAATTTCTGCACGACTGAATAATCCTTTTCTCCGCAAATATCCCTCATATTTTTCCTTGTTCATGGGTACCACCAGGATATAACGAGGCTCAAAATAGGAATATTTTAAACTTCTTACACCCTGTGCATTAAAAGGAAGATAATAAATTGGAAACACATAGATGATTTACAAATCATTTTGGAGCCATCTGACAACATGGGTATAAGAAGTAGTATTATTGATATATTGAAGAATGTATTTCACCTGTAGAGTTAGCTGCTATTTTTCTATAAATATCTCAAGATTGGATTACATTTCTCTCTTCATCAAGTTTTAAATTGTCATTGGAAATATTAGAATTCACTCCACCTGGCTTTCCTTTAATTAATCATTCTAATGAATATGACTGTTAGAAAATTGCTGGATATAAAATAGGTACATTCATAGCAATATTGCAACTTTATTACAGAAAGGTAATTTCCATTCTATATTTCAAAAAGCTTCTGTGGAGCACTAGGAGACAGAGATCTTACCAGGGAGAAAAGACTCTTCTGTGACCCCTTTGTCATCATCTTGGGACCCTTTCTGCAGCTAAATCGGCACCCTGGTTGGGAAGGCCAAGCTCCTGGTAGCCTGCAGACCAGGAGATCACAGCGTGGAACTGTGTAAGGAACTGACTGGTCTGAGTCTGGAGGGCTTGGTCACAACTGCAGCTCTCCGGCTCCTGTAGACTCTGCACGAATCCTTCAAGTTCTCTGGCTATCAGTTTCCTCGTGGGTGAAATGAAAGAGCCATTCCAAATGGACTCTAAAGTCCCTTCCATCTCAATCAGTTTCACTCAGTGTTCAAAATCTTTGTTTTAAAAATTCAGTTGGAAGAAATACAGGCTATTTCCAAAACAATTTCCGAGTCAATGGCCAGGGCAGTCTGGAATAATACTTCAGCTGGGGAGAATCAGGGGAATAAAGCATGGATTATAGACTCAACCTCCTGGAAATGGGTAGGAGTGAACTCCCAGGGAGAAAAAGAGTGAAACAGGAGCCACTCCTCAGATAACTGTTGGACCATAGAAAGATAGATAGAAAGGATGGAGAGTTTCTGGACTCACAAATGCATTAATTTTTGTTTCTGCCTTGTCAAATGAATAAATTTTTTAGAAAAGACCTTTTATTTTTGCTAGTTATTATAGAAACAAAGAAAACTCTCCTTAAAGATACAAAACCAATTAATCACAGAGAAATAAGATTTGAAATAGTCTAAGTCAGGAAAGTTAAAGAGCTGGAAGAAATACGTAAGCTAGGAAACGCTTACACCAACACAAAGAGTCAAAAGGGAATTGCAGTCTCCTACTGTGTGAAGTCACAGAGGAAAAAAGAAAGATTCAGAGTTGACATCAAAGGATTATGCACCCAATTTGCCTAGGTTTTGTTTTCTGTACGTTTGGTCTAATTGAATTAGTTTTATAATTGCTTTCTTTTTAATTCCAAAAGTGTCATACTGCTCAGTTAAAGGATCTTGAAAAAACAGTCAACTATCTTTGAAGGTTCCAAGTATGCAATAAAGCTATATTTTTAAAAAATAAATGAGTGGGATATTCATAGTTTTACTCCGGATCTTAATTTTGGAGAAGCTTCTATATACTCTAATTATAGATCATTGTTGGGGGAAGACACGGTGTCGGGGTAGAGAGAAAAATCTCTGACATCTACAGGTCTACATTGCCAGAAGTATGAAAATATTACACCCAGTGAGCAACTGCAGTTAAATGGCAGCACAGCTCACACATCTCATGTAGAACGAAGGAACAAAGTTGACCGCATGGGGCTGTCATTGTCCTAGGGCATGGGGAACCAGTTCCACACTCTACAAATCAGGCTTTATCTACAGTCTTTTATATAAACAGAGGCCATGCTCTAAAAAGAAAAAGGAGCATTTAGTGAGGAAATAACAGAAAATAAAGCTCGAGTGGCAGTTACACTCACAATATCTGTGCAATTTCTTGTATTGTAACCTAACTCCTGTCACTTAATGTTTCACGTGTCTTGCCCCCCCATACTAATTATAAATGGAATATCTTATCTTGTGTCTGGCAATGTGTTGCCTGTGCATTGTAACCCCCTCCCCAACCTCAAATATGTACCTCAATTATGTATCAATAAAAAATTTATATATATATATATACACACACACACACACACACACATACCCACCACACTCACACAAACTACACACACATTAATTGGTGGAATGAAAAACACTTACTTCTATTTCCATATGAACACAGCTTGCCAAACCATCTCTTGCGATAGCTTCTATAGTGTCCCTATTTAATCCATACTTGTGATTACCATAACTAAATGTTACAATGAATTTCCCCTGGAATTCGAGAAGAACAAAGATTTTCATATAACAGCAGCTATCATGGAATATGATCACAACTAAAATCATTTGATGTCTTATTCTAAATAATTTCAAAAACCTTACAAATTTTAGCAACTGCATACGGATGACAATGGGGTACATGAAACTTAATTTCAAACTGTGACAGAGAAATTTATTCAGAATTCTCAGCTGACAAAAAAAAATAGGTTTTTAGAAATAATCTGCTGACAAAATGTTGAGGAGTGTTAAGGCACTGCAGCATATGGTAAAATAGACTATTTTGTTTACTTACCCACTTCCTGTCAAACTCGCACCAAAACCTTCATTACTGAGAGAACAAAACTAATGGCCTGCTCTTTACCGCCGCCATTTCAGCTGTGCCAGCACACCAGGCAACCCAGAAAAGGCCTCCGTTTCCAACAGCCTTGCATTCCAAGATAAGCCATGAGTTATAGATAATTCCGGAAGGCCATGAATTACAGGGACATCCTAAAAGCTTTGAAAAAGCAGACCCATCCTGTTTTTCCTCATAAAGATAGCTTTCTACTGAAACTGCCCCAAATGTTATCCAACAGAATTGGTATCTGCCCTATAGCCATTTGAACTATAAATGATGCCTCTGTCTATATTCTGGAAGCTCAGTTCTTCCAAAAACTGTATTCCCTTGGGGAAAAAAAAGGCAAGTAAAAACACGTCTCTCAAAACTGTCTGTGACTTTTTCTTTGGCAATACTATATTCATTAAACCACTAGGTCAAATCTAAACTGCGTAACTGATGACAACAGAAGGAATAAAAATTTGGATGATCTTGGCAAGTGTGACTTCTCATATACGTGATTTTGAAATGAACAATGAAGTGAAAACTTCCAGGGCTGCACTGAATCCCATCAAATGGCGGTGACAGCATTAAGAACAGTAGCAGCTGGGTCTATTGCTGCCCTGCGTCCTGGCCCCAGAAGTTCTGGAAATGTGAGGGCACACAGATGGGCTGTCTGCCAGGGAAGAGAGGTCAGAGACCAGAAGGCACAGGGTGTCTTTTGAGGTTGGGGGATGGGTCTCTGGGCAATGTGTCTGCTGTGGGTGATGAGGAAAATCTACATCCCCCATAATCAAAAACTCAACAATAAATATCCTTACTATTTTATTCCTTCAAAGTCATACTTTCTTTGTTATTTGGAACAAATACTGTGACTCCTTTTATATATATATATATAAATGTGACTCCTTTTCTCTCTCTCTCTCTCTATATATAAAACCTATATAGATATATATCTGGCTCTCCTTTCAGAGAGACACTTTATCTTGTTTATTGCATCTGCTGGTTAGTGTTATGTGTCAACTTGGAAGATGTTTGGGGTGAGATGAACATTTAAATTGGGGAACTTCAAGGAAGCAGACTGCCACCCATAATATAGGTGGACTTTATCCAATCAGTTGAAGACCTCAATAGAACAAAAAGATCAGCCTTTGGATTTCATCTGCACCACTGAAACCTCCATTGCAAAATTATGACTGAGACAATGAAAGAGATTTAACCTAACTGACTCCATCTTGCTTCTAACCTCCAAACTGTCCTTGTTCAGTCTTGGGCACAGGCTGAACTAACTTTGGGAGGAACTTAGTTTACACTTTAAAACAAAGATGATAACAGCCCTTTCCCAAAACAAACTTCCTTCTTGCCTGGGGACTAGACTGCCTTTGTAGGACTGAAAAATTAGCCACAAGATTAGAAATTATGGTTTAGGGGTCATGTAGCTGGAGGCTATAAGATTCTGACCCTCCCTAAACTGTTCCTGAGATTAGCACTTGAGATATTTTGCAGAGCCTGCACTTGATGGATCAGCTGGCACCGCCCAGATTGATAAACTGGTTCATCTGATCCTGTGGCCCCTATCCAGGAACTGACTCAGTACAAGAAGACAGCTTGACTCCCTGTGATTTCATCTCTGACCAATCAGCACTCCCGGCTCGCTGGCTTCCCCCGACCCACTAAGTTGTCCTTAAAAACCCTGATCCCCAAATGCTCAGGGCGATTGATTTGAGTAATGATAAAACTGTGGTCTCCTGCACAGCTGGCCCTGTGTAAATTATTCTTTCTCTACTGCAATTCCGCTGTCTTGATAAATCGGCTCTGTCTAGGCAGTGGGCAAGGTGAACCCATTGGGATTTCCTGGCTGCCCGTCTCACACTGCAGATTTGGATTTGCCAGTTCCCATAACCCATGTGTGCCAATTCCTTATACTAAATCTCTTTAAGAGATGGGTTCTTGCTGTGTTACACAGGCTGGGGTGCAATGGGGCAATCATAACTCACTGCAGCCTTGACCTCCTGGGCTCAAGCAATCCTCCTGCCTCAGCCCTCCTGAGTTACTGAAACTATAGGCATGAAACCCTACACCAGGCTAATTTTTTTTTTTTTGAGGAGATAAGGTCTCGTTATGTTGCTCAGGCTGGTCTCAAACTCCTAGGTTCAAGCAATCCTCCCGCCTCAGCCTCCCAAAGTGCTGGGATTATAGGTGTGAGGCCAACTCTAAATCTCTTTCTATACATATACACATCCTATTCTATTTCTCTGGAGAACCCTGACTAACACTCTATGACTCACCCTGTTTTCAAAATGTATACTTGAATTCCTTTTCAGATATATACTGTAAGTTTGTTTATTCACACGTATAAGAACCTTCCACTGTGGATCAAAAAAAAAAAACCAAACAAACCCATTTTCTAGAAAGATGTAGAGACGTAGAGTTGGGAGGAACCTTGCATAGTACATAGGTATAAAAAAGACTCCATTACAAGTTTGTTAAGAATTGGGATTAAGTGGTTTCCCTCCACCCCATTCTGGCTGGTGATGCTACTTTGGTTTCTTGCTGCATGTGGATTTCCTAATAAATAGCAATAGTCTTACTCCAGAAACCTCAGGGTCTGTGGTTTGATTTCTGCAGGAGAGGGAGAGTTTCTGTGGGGACTATATATGTGTCCATAAAAAGGGTTCTCATATCTGCAGGCATGTTAGGGGGGTGATTGTGTGTTGTGGGGGAAGTATCTGACGGGATGAAGGAGGCACCTGTGTTGGGGAGGGTATGCAGGTCTATGTGTTGTACCTGTCAGAGCAGGAAGGTGTGACTGTCCACAGTAAGGGTGTGCCAAGGCTGTCCGTCAGTGGGCCTGCTGTAATGGAGGATGGTGGGCGGGCTGTCTGGGTGGCTACTGTGTAGAGGGGGGTTCTGTGTACAGAGGGCTGAGTGTCTGTGGGTGATTGGCAAAGCTGACAATGTGTCATGAGTTTGTCATCTCTAAGTTTGTTTCTCTTCATGAAACAGTTTCAAGCTTACATTAAAGGAAAAGAGATCAGAGGCACAATTCAAGTTCAAGAAAATTATGTTATCCTGAAGTATATGTATATATTATCAGAATCTGTAAAAATAAGTACTTCTCAAACACAGGAGGATTTTTGTAGAGGTAGTACAATTCTAAGACTAAATATAGTATAGAAGTGTAGTGACTTTTTAGACTAGGAATTGAACCAGACTAGATTACAGATCTGATAAGGTATGAAACACCAGAGAGCAGATGGGGTTCTGAGAACAGATGAACTGACATGAGAAAAAAATGCCTCATACTCCAACAAGAGAAATTAACATTAATTTTGGGAACTAGTTGTCTTTCAACCTAAAGAGTCCTAAGAGAATGCTTCTTACTAATATCAAGATAACTTCTCAAATCTCTATTGAGGCTTTTAGAAACAAAATCCCAGAGTATTCTTAATCAATTAAACTGAACTGCCAAAATATAGCCCTAGGAGAGAAAATTATAAAGAATTTCCAAGATGTTCTTTTGACAAGGTTAGAGGAAAACAGGGATCATACGTTTTTCTCACTTGTATGTCTCCACAAACACAAGAGAAGTCCAGAAAACATGCACCATGTATAGAGTTGGCCATTCAAAATTAAACTCATAGAAACTGCAAAGCCCATGCTGAAATGGTCCATGATTTTGTACAATGAAGAATAAGCCAGGTCCATTATTTTGGGGGTGGGAACAGAGGAAGGAAGAAGGAAAAAGAAGGGGAAAGAGGGAAGAGGATATACAGCTATAAGGGAATCACCAGGTGGGTGGTAATCTTTCAAAAGCAGAAACACAGATGAGTCCCTCATCTGATAGTTCAGTGGGCTTCAGAAAAGAAAAGGAAGTGGTGTAGGATTTACTTGGTGATAGAAACAATGAAGATATAAACAATAAGGGCCATGGTGAAGTAAAAACAAAAGGTTTACCGATTCATTGGTCGTGATGAAAATATGAACTCCTCTTTCAGTTTAACTGAAGTCATGGGCAGATACATATTTACATTAGCATATACTTTCAACAGATAAAACATGCTAGGATTATGAGGGTTACCTTTGTATGTGAAGGCCAAGAAGGGACAAGTAAGTTGTTTTAAAGAAAATGAATTCAAAGACAAGAGTATTTTGAGTTACTATCAATAACTAGATTGTCAGGGTTTCAGTAAAAAACAAACCAATGAAAAAACCCAAAACTTAAACAAGATTGCTCTGAGTGCCTGTGAAATGGACAAACGCATGGTAATTACCTTGACCTTGTTAAAACAGTCCTCAAAGAAATTAGGGATCATCTCCCATCTTCTAGCAAGGGCTTCCATCTGCATTAGTGAACTGCTTGGCCTCCAGGACTGAGAACTCAGACAGGAACATGACCATGGAAGGTAACATGTCCAGAAAAAGCCAACTAAATGGGACACACCATATTGAAATGGTGCTTAGGGCTGAAACAATTAGAAAGCACCACAGATAATACACAGAAAGAGTACTCTCTGGACAGAGTAGCCAAATCTCCAGACATACTTAATTTACAAGCTTTGTGCACCATCGGTTCTGTAAGAACTGTTTTTCTTGAGTAAATCTGACTAATAACAGTAGCAGCAACTGATAAACACAGATCACAAGAATTTTTCATACTGCTTTAGTTCTATTTCCTTAAAATGCCTACTCATTCATTTTTATTGGAAATTTACAATATTTTCTCCGAGACCATAAAATAAAAAAGCATGTGAAGAATGATGTATTAAGCACTTTAAGAAAAAAAAAACCAATATGAACTCACCTCTCATAACAAGCACAAAATTTAATTCTTCCTTTTTTTTTTATTTATAACTATTTCCTAACATTTTTGCCAGAGAACATGCATTTCTTGTGCAATAAAAACAAAGGCAACATTCTTACCGTGTTTACCATTTCATCGAAAACTTCTTGAGAGATAAAATGATAATCAACTCGATCCCCTTCTCCAAAGTAAGGTGGTCTTGTGGTATGACAGGCCCTGAAATCATAAAACAGATCATCCTAGTCTATTTCTAACTGGAAATTCAAAATGGAAAAGGTTTCAGTATAAAGTATGTTTTAAAAAATGAAGTTAATCCACAAATCATAAATCATAAAGTAATACACTTGTGAGAATATGTTGGTTTCAAAGTGCTAGATTATATTCAGTTGCTATCATCTGTAAGGATTATATAAAATTTGGATCATCCATACCAAATTTTTACTCATTATTATTTATCACCTTCTGAACCTCTTCCTCTGCCATCATGTAATAATACTTTAAGAAGTAAATCAATACTTATCATTTAACTATTTTCCACCCACCTGCTTTCATGTTTAATGTATGAGCCTTTTCCACAGGTTGTCCGTCTCTCCTTCCACCTGGCTGGCCTACTCGTTTCTTAGGACTCAGTTTAAATGTCACCCCTCCAAAAATCCTTTCCTGACCTCTATGGCTGGATTATTCATCGCTTTATATTTCCACAGCCTCAGCGTCTGTGCCAATTGCATTTCAATTATATGTTCAGGGCCCATCCCCTCCACCACTTGAGGGTAAATCTGTCTCATGCGCCCTGTGCTTGGTCCATATCCACACTGTGTATAAACCTCCTGTGGCAATCCACGGTGCCAGTGCTGAACAGAAGTCTCAACTCAAGCAAAGAGGCCTTTTCTCTCCACTGTCTGAAATAGCCTCCCCATCCTACCACACCGCTCAACTACTGTCTATCACCAGAACTGCTTTCTTTTGTATATTTATCTGGTTTTTTTCCCATCTTTCCCAGCAGAACATATGAATCAGAAGGGGAGGACCATGTCTTATTCACCACTGCATTCCCAAAGCCTGGCACACAGTAGGCATTTGATAAAATTTTGTAAAGTGAATGAAAAATGAAACATGAGAAGTGGATAACAGCTGCTAAGAACTCCCTTTTATAGATGACTACAAAAATGACTCCTCTAAGGTCACACAGCAGGCCAGTGTTGGTCCTACAACAAGAATATGGTGGTCCCAACCACCAGGACTCTTGAATTCATATAATTCTGCCTTCCACTGTTAAGTGCAGGAAATGCAAACTGACTTTTAGATTTTCCTGTAGTTTTAAAATAGGAGATGAGAGCCAGGCACAGTAGCTTATTCCTGCAATCCCTGTACTTTAGGAGGCCAAGGCAGGAGGATTGCTTGAGCCCAGGAGTTCAAGACCAGCCTGGGCAACATAGTGAGATTCTGTCTCTACAAAAAAATTTAAAAATTAGCCAGGTGTGGTAGCACGTGCCTGTGGTCTCAGCTACTCAGGAGGTTGAGATGTGAGGCTCACTTGAGCCCAGGAGTTTGAGGCTGCAGCGAGCCATCATTGCCCCATTGCATTCCAGCTGAGGCAACAGAGCAAGACCCTGTTTCAATAAATAAATAATAAAACAAGAGATGAGACTAGCTAGACACTTGACATGTTATTTCATTTATTTCTTACAAAAACCATGAGCTAAGTATTATTTCTTATTTTTATTTTATAGATAATGAAACTGAGGAACAGCTATTAAGGAATGCTACTAAGCAGCAATGCCAAGATGACTCAAAAGTCAATTCTTGTTAATATTATACTAATTCAGACAGTAAAGTTGCAACCTCAAAAGACTTTTCATTGCAAAGCCAAAGGCAAATAAATGTTTATAATTCATACCACTGCTCCCTTTCCATTATACTCAAGAATTAACTGTACTAATAAATTTTAAGGTCTTAACATCATATTTAAATTACATACTCAGGAAAGAGAGCACATTCTAAGAGAAGGCTGTCAAAACACCGTGGCATTTGTTTTGTTGTTTGAATACATTGGCATTTCTTCACAAGCTTTAGCAGAGACCTGACACCCTCTGTCTATTGGCGTCCTTGACAGTCAGGGAAGATAAATCAATAGCTTGGCACCCTTGCAGCAAACCCTTAGCATAGCCTGTACACATTATGCTGAACTTACAGTTCTCAACAAAGGAATTGAGTGGCAAGAATTTCTTCTGAATTTCTCAAAGAAAGACAAAACAAAGAAGCAATTTGAAGCTTCTAGGCAGGTAAATAAAGAGATGGCTCCACTGGTGTGCAGAATGCTGATGACAGAGCCTGCAGCCACTGCAGACTTTCTATTAAGAAGAACCTAAGATGATCTGTGTTTTTGAATTTGTCATCCAATTTCCACATATACAAATGTTCACTGTGTTATATGCTGCCCAAATATGAACATCTCAAAAAGAAAATGCTTCACAGTGAAGGCAACATTTCACTCAACTTACATAGGAAAAATGATACCAAATTCTAGACAAAGAAATTTGCTCGAGCCAGGACTTTCAAAATTCTTCTTTTCCCTTGTCTAAATCTTTCTGCAGGTTCATTATTTACTAATTAATTTACTAGTTAAATTATGGTTTGTAATAGGAGCCATAATTCCAGTAATTTCACTCGACACAGAAAAGGACTGAGTTAGAGATGAACCCCAGACTCCAACTCTGGTCCTAAAAGTCTAAGGGTGCCAATTCATGGCCAGGTGTCACTGAAGCTACTACCAAACCGAATTCACAGAAAGGAGATGACCAAGAGGAAAAGGAATTGGAAGGCCAGGCCAAATAATGGAATCCCAAAATATCCAGGGAAATGTAACAGGAAGAAAAGATATCTAAGAAGAGCTAGCAGGTGGATGAGGAAGTAGAATTTTTTTCAGTGTCATTCAGAAGCATGCAGATTTAGAATCTTAATTCTGAACCAGATTGCCTCAGGAAATAATGAACTTGTTACTGCAAATATTTAGGCAGAGGCTTGGCTCTGAGCACATCTGAATTCAAGCACATTACAGCACATCATATTATTAGTAAGTGAGCTCTATCAATGGGTAGCCACAAAAGCCCAGGTATTACTAGAGGAATGTGGGAGGCAAATGAAATTGGTCTGAACACCCAATGCAGATATATGTCAATAGCTTGCTGGACACAATTTAAGTAATCCTCCACACAAAAGATTCCAGCACATACTGTATCTAAGTATCAAACTCCATGAAGCCACTATTCTGCCCACTTTTCAGTAACTACACACCATTTTCTGACTCACGCTACCATCACCAGTCACTACATTCTACCTGGTGTTCTTGTCTCCAGACTTCCTTCCCTAAGCCCTTTCCCAAACTGCCACCAGGATACGGTTTTTAAAATGCAAATGTGATCACATCATTCCCCTCCCTGTTTAGAAATCCTTTATGACCAGACCCCTGTCTGTCCTTCCAGTCTTAACTTTTGCCATCTCCCTTGATAGTCCAAGCTGAGCCAAATGCTGTACTCTCTGCCTAGAATACACCCCCAACTCAAGCCACACTTCCCACTTCTCTTTTATTTCTATCTCAGAGGCTCTTTACCTCCCTCATCATAGCACCCATCAAACTATCTTGTGAGCATTGACCTGTTTAAATCCCATACTACTTTGTAAGCTGCCAGGAGGAGAAGACCCATACCTGTTCATTTCACAGTTTCATCACCCACATGTAGCATTTGCTCGATAAATATTGAATGAATAAATGAACCATTCTACAAATTTGTCACATGTGTATAAACAGACACATTAGCTGAGACTGCATTTAGATTGCTGCAGCTCATATCATCTCATGTAGCTAAATATCTGTGGTCTTTTATTTTACTGTATTACAATGCTAAAAATAAAATATATTTAGTAGTCAACCTCATAAGAAGCCTATGAAAATAGAGATGGCTATAAAATAATGATCTAAAAAAGAATAAAGTTTTTCTTTCAGGGCCATTCAGATCACTTTCATGGCCTTAAATCTAGAAGATAGACAGGCATGCTGATACTGTTTTGTGTTGCCCTCATTATCCGGCACTTTTCCAGGAAGTCACTGATTCGTGGGTGCTCAGCTAGAAATCAATAGAGAGACTTTGAAGAAAGTAAATGCATATCTCCAGGTCACCCGTAACTAATACTGGTAAAGAAAGTATTAGAATACTACTACTAATTCTACTTTTTTTCCAACATATTTCTAAACATATTTCTAAAACCAAGAACAAATAGTAAAATCAAAACCTAACCACAGCAAAATCTCTCAGCCACACCAATATTTGTTATGTGACTGAGTTACGTTTTCAACATTTATATAACTGGATATGCAACTTAGTGTGCGAAAATGTCATTGAATGTCTCGATATTGGGTCGATGCAATTTAGAAAGGAAGTAAAATACCAGGAAAAAATTAAACGAGGAAGAGGGAAAGAAATGATTCAAGCAAATGGTGGAGAAAGTGCCTTTGTAAATGCTTTTATGTTTCACCATGAGACTCTATTCATGCCTTTTTTCTTTTTACATAATTAAAAATCAATAAAACTTATGTTGGATAAAGAATAATAGAAAAGAAAATCTAAACAAGAGCAATGACTTGCCCTTGAGAATGTGAGAAGGTGCTTTGGTTTTATTTTTAAATTTTAACTAGAAAGTTGCTGCATATAATGGTAGCACTATCTTACTTTCTCAATGGATAAAGTAACTACCTAACACCCTTTTTCATCTGATGCATAGTCTTTTATCCATGCCTTGATGAAATTCTTAGAATAATCTGCCATTGAACAAACCTTGACCTCTGCCTTCATGAGGATGACAGTGAATGGTTGGATGGTGCTTCTGAACCTCTGAGGGAGGTAGATGAATGAGTTTGTAGTTGGGAGGGGGGCAGTTAGGAGTATCTTTCTACTCACCGCTAATTCCAGCCAGAAGAGAAAAATAGTAGTGGCAGCAGTAACAGTACTGGAGCATGAAGCTAATTTTAGGATTCTGTTTGGCCATCTTGTGCCTCCACCTAAATTTCATATAGCACTAATTATCTAAGGTCTGAGTCCCCCATTAGATTACAGATTTCATTAAGGCAACGACCTCACCAATCTTGTTCCTGCTGTACCCTCAGGGACTAGCACAAGAGAGGAAATCAATAAGTATTCATTGAAAGAATGAACAAGTGGATGAATCCATTCATCTCTGCATAGCTCCATCAGTGGAGGCTGGGGAAAATCACCCATGCTTCTTATTGTAGTCATTTCTATGATCTGTTGCTCACAATGCCATTAATTCAGCCAACCATTTACTCAATCAGTCAGTCAGTCAGTTATTTAACAAATATTTATTACACACATATTAAGTGTCTGGCCATATACTGGGCATTGAGAACTCAATGGTGAACAAGGCTGACATGAGCCCTACCCTCAATGGGCTACATACAAGTAAGGAAAGCAGACATTAAATCAACTCATCACAAGCATGATGGATAAGCATTCTAATTAGGGAAATAAAAGATTTAATGAAAATGAGTAATTGGGAGGCCTCGCCAGATAAGAATGTAAGGGCAAATTGGCTCCAAATCTTGATGATGAGTCAATAAGCACCTCTAAAAACATATCCAACAAAGCATGTCTTGGCAGTAGCATATCACAAAGAAATAAACAGGACTGGGCTACCAATCATTTGCTACATAACTGGTATCAGAGATGTGAAAGGAACTGGAGAAAACCTTGGTTCCTCATAGGTCACTTTGGTTTGCTAAAAAGTTCCAAATTTATGCATTAGAAAATAGCATATACTCTTTTGCCCTAGTTTGACCTTCCATTCATTGTGTTCAGCTTATCTTTTAAAACAGGTTCAGTACATCCACAGAAACATAATGTACTCTATATTTTTATTCTAACATTAACTTTTAATTTATTTTTGTTACTTCAGGGTATTTAAAATATATTAATCAATAAATTATTCCATAGTGTTTGTGGCCTAGAGTTGTTCAAATAAAGGATGTAATTTTAAATATCTAAATAAATGGACCTGTTTGAAATAGTGTTTACATTGTTTGAACATGTGTAGCTTCAAGGAAGGAATTTTTTTGTTTTGTAATAGCATTAGGAAATAATTTGCGCTTATTTTTCTGGCTGTCCTATATATCTTCGTAGTCACATCCTCAGTTCACTGACAGGCACCACTAATCTAAAAGTAATTTATTTGCCATACATAAAAAATACAAGAGGAAACCAGTTTAAGAGATGACAGACAATTCTAAATTTGAGTCTCCAAAACCTCTGAAAAAAATCTTTTTTTTTTTTTTTTAGTAACAGAAAACATATATATATATGTATTTATTTATTTCAAAGGTAACTTGTTTTACTCAAACTATTTACAACAAAGGGCAGAGTAGAGACATGAATGGCTGCACAAGTTATTTTAATTATAAATTAATAAAAGCCTACATTAAATTCATCTTATTAACTACTTATGAGACTGTATAAAAACTGATGAAGCCAACATTATTTGGTACTTCAGTTACTTCCATTCGCTTCAACTTAACTATTCTTTCTAAGTCTCGCTCTGTTGCCCAGGCTGAAGTGCAGTGGCACAATCTTGGATTCTCATGTCTCAGCCTCCCAAGCAGCTGGGATTACAGGTGTGTGCCAATACACCCAGCTAATTCTTATACTTTTAGTAGAGACGGGATTTTGCCACATTGGCTGGGCTGGTCTCGAACTCCTGGCTTCAAGTGATCCGCACCCCTCAGCCTCCCAAAGAACTGGGATTAAAGGCATAAGCTACTATCCTCAGGCTCTAAAAAACTTTTTAAACTCCGTTGGAGTTTTTTTTGTGTGTGTGTGTGTGTGTGTGTGTGTGTGTGTGTGTGTGTGTGTGTGTTCTGATGGTTCTAGTTTTTGGATATGTTCCTTTATTTTAACTGGGTCATTAAGACATCACTAAGCAAAATATTTGCTCCAGAAAACTTGAAGTGTATTGAATGCTAACCTGAAGGAAAGAAAAAGAAAAACTTGCTGCCCCTTCTTCCTTCCTCCTGAAATATACCTCAAAAGAGGAAGACCTGTCAGAGACAAAGAAGCTCAAGTGCTGTTGGCACATGTTCCAAGCTCAGACAGGACAGTCTGTTCCTGAACACAGATCTGCCCATCACACATCACAACATGATGATTCACGCTGTCATACCGCAAGGCAACAGGAGAAGCCTGCCTTCAAATGCCATTATGCTTAATTAAAAAGATGTTTATTTTCAAACCCTGGAGGGTGATTTGGGCTGAAACTGAATCAAGTTAAGCATTTGGAAAATTAAAGTTAAAAAAAATACAGTGTATATTACAGTATAATAAATGACAAAGAAGCTGATAAGCCTTTTATGGAAAAGGTGGGGAACAGCATGAATGAGCTATGCTGGTTTGCTTGCTTATTTTTGTGGGGAACAGGGGAGTCATTGCTGTATGTTTACTGTCTGCTTCACAAAAGAAAAATTATTTTGTTTTGGCCAGGCGTGGTGACTCACACTTGTAATCCCAGCACTTGGGAGGCCAAGGTGGGCGGATCACGAGGTCAGGAGATGGAGACCATCCTGGCTAACACAGTGAAACCCCGTCTGTACTAAAAGTACAAAAAATTAGCTGGGTGAGGTGGCAGGCACCTGAAGTCCCAGCTACTTGGGAGGCTGAGGCAGGAGGATGGCGTGAACCCGGGAGGCGGAGCTTACAGTGAGTGGAGATCGCACCACTGCACTCCAGTTTGGGTGACAGAGCCAGACTCCGTCTCAAAAAAAGAAAAATTATTTTGTTTCTTCCTGCTATATGGTAAGTTCTTCTATTGCTAGAAGTATACTTTAGCAATCATCTTTACCGTATTGATTAGAATGGCACAAGAATCAAGATTCTATCGTTCCAAAACCAGGTAATCACATTGATCCAATTTTATCAATAATTTACCGTCAAGGATTAATATTCGCATGGTGCTCTGTCCTTACCAAGAGTTAATATCTATTGGCCATTCAATTTACTTACCACTTTTGGTTTTGCTATAAAGTGTAACTTAAATATTAAGTTGTTTTGTACATTTCTGAACTTGCTTAAAATTAATAGCCAACATTAGCAATATCAGAGATTTTACTAGAAATGAACTATTGATACCTCCAATAATTCAGATAAATTTCCAAGTCTTAACAAGCCAATAAACAAACTTACCCGTATCTGAAGTAAGTGCTAAACTGTCTGCAGAGGCGATGGGCAAGTTCTCGTTTCCCACAAGCTGTAGGACCAGCTAGTATCAGCATGGGATAAGGGGCATCCAGGCTGGGAAGAGTGCTACAACACAGGAGCAGAGTCAGTTCTCCTACTGCAGCCAGGGAGAAAGCACATGAACTACACCCATTAGGCCATCATTAACCCGGCTGAATGAGGACTCGCTATAGAAGACACTGCGTAGAAGAATAGTTGTCCTTTCCAGAAACAGATTGATTATATGTCAAAAATCATATTCAAAGCATAGATAACAGTATGAGGTAAAATATGAACTTCTGTAAATTTGCTTTAACATGACTTTTAAAGGAAAACTATTAATATTTATTGGTTCTTGATTGCTAGAGTGAAATATTCCTCCCCAAAACTGATCAATGAAAGAAATGACTGTTAAAGTTAAATAAGACTGTAAAGTTAAGATAAATATTCATAACTACTGAATTAGAATGCAGGTATGCAAAGCCAACTTAACAGTAATAGCTAAAATTTACCTGAGCAATTACTACGTGCCAGGAAACATTCTAAGAGTCATACATATATTACCTCATTTAATTATCACAAGAAGCTAAAGAAGATGTTTCTGTCATTATCCCCTTTTAACGTATGAAGAAACTGAAGTACAAGGAGGTTAATTAACTTGCTCAAAGTGATAGTTAATCAGGTAGAGCTGATATACAAATGTAGGCTTGACTGCCAAGCCTGAAGACTGGACTAAAGAATGAATTCATTAATAAAATCTCCTGCAGCTGGGCGTGATGGCTCACGCCTGTAATCCCAGCACTTTGTGAGGCTGAGGCAGATCACCTGAGGTGAGGAATTCGAGACCAGCCTGAGCAACATGGAGAAACCCTGTCTCTACCGAAAATACAGAATTAGCCGGGCATGGTGGTGCACACCTGTAATCCCAGCTACTTGGGAGGCAGAGGCAGGAGAATCTCTTGAACCTGGGAGATGGAGGTTTCAGTGAGCTGAGATGGTGCCATTATACTCCAGCCTGGGCAATAAGAGTGAAACTGTCTCAAAAATAAAAATAAAAAATAAAATAAATAAAAATAAAATCTCTTGCAACACACTGAACGATGTGTTTAGACTCTACTCATGACACAAATTGTAGCAATCTAGAATCAAATATAAAGTTTTTAAAAGCCACATGGCTGAGGTGTGGATTCTGTGAAGATGAAGGTGTAGATTCTGAGTAGAGTCTGTGGAAACAATGAAAGAGCATAGTTTTTCAGTCTCTCTGAATTCCCACAGAAAAACAGAAAAACTTGAGAACAAAAGCCTAAGGCAAACATATATAAGTACATGAAACGGTATCACCAAGAGCCACGGACCCACAAAACCTGTGTGGTACTGGAATCAACGCAGGAGGAAGAAGAAGGAAGCAATGGGCAGCATCTGACAGATCTGAGAGCAAGTGAACCCCAAAACAGCCACTGTGTACCTGCCGAGAGCAGGCAGGCTGAAGCTGTATACATGCGCAAAGGCCTGGACGTGAATGTTCATGACAGCCCTATTTGCAATCACCCAAAACTGGAATCAGTCCAGATGTCTTTCAACAGGTGAACAATTCAAGTAACTGTGATACCGCCATGCCATGGAATGCTACATGGCAATAAGAAAGAATGAACAATTGACTCATGCAACAACTTGAATGGATTTCCAGGGAATTAGTCTGAGTGGCAAAGCCAATCCCAAAAGGCTATGTACTGTATGATTCTATTTATATTACATGTTTGAAATAACAGCATTATAGATAGAGACAGGGACAGATTAGTGGTTTCCAGGGGTTAGGGAAGATGAGGGGGAGGGAGGTGCTACGGCTATTACAGAGTATTACAAGGGATCCTTGTGATGAAACTGCTCTATAACTTGACTGTAGTGGCGCTAAGATAAATCTACACATGTGATAAAATTGCACAGAGGTAAACAGAACTAAAGACAAAAGAGTACATGCAAAACTGGTGAAATCCGATAAGGTTGGTGGATTTCCTGGTCAATTTCCTTGTTTTAATGTTCTGCTATAGTTATGCAAGATATTACCATTGAGGAAAACTGGGTGACTGGTTTATAGAATTTCTCTGTATTATTTCTTACAACTTCATGTGAATCTACAATTACCTCAAAATATATTTTTTTCAAAAAAATAACTAAGAAAAAGAAAGTGACAAATATTGAAAATAAGCAAAAGAGATCTTCTTCCTGAAGATGAAAACCAAAGCAAAGGAACAGAAAACAGAGGGTATACTTCAAAAAACCTTCCCTGAAATTAAAAACAAAAACAAAAACAAAAAAAAAATCACTATATATTGAAAGGGCACACATTATACCCGAAATATCAGCCCAGAACTAATACCAGGACATAGTCTAGTAAAATTACTGGGCTTTAAAGAAAAAGAAAAAAAATTCCAATTAGAAAAAAAAAGCACATTACTTATAAGGGAAAGAAAATTAAATTATCATCAGATTTTGACAATGTTTTATGCCAAAAGACAATGGAGTAACATTTTTAATATATTCAAGGAAAAAGGTGTGGGTCATGAATTTTATATTTAGCAGAAATGACTTTCAAGTATAAAGGGCATACATTATTATAACATGCAAGAATTCAGAGGATACTGATCCCATATCCCTTCCTAAGGAATCTACTAGAAAACAAGCTTCATACAACCAAAGTGACTCAAGGGACATCAATGTAACAACTGGTAGTGAGCAACAACTATGTAGTTAGCCAGAGAATTAAGACTAAATGAGAGCAAAGAGGGAGAAAGCACAGTATGTGATGGCTGTAAGTTTTGACAATATAAATATAGTACAACACTATTTTCTAAACGGGGTGGTTGATACTTATATGAAATACATAGAATAGGCAAATTCATAGAGACAAAAGTAGATTAGAGCTTATCAGAGGCTGGGAGCAGAGAAGAACCAGGAGTTATTGCTTAATGGGTACCGAGTTTCTGTTGGGGGTAATGAAAATGTTTTGGAAACAGATGGTAGTGATGGTTACTTAACATTATGAATGTACTTAATGCCACTCAACTGTCCACTTTAAAATTGTTACAGTGGCAAATTTTGTTACATATATTTTACCACAATAAAAAACACGGGAGGGAATTGGTAAATTGTAGGCAAAAAAAAATATTTTTAATGGTTTCAGGAATCATTTTGGTGGTAGTATTAGTACTTGTATTCTGATACCATTGTGCTACAATCTAGGATTTTTTCAAATGAGTAATTATGGGATTTGGTAATTTCATCTTCCTCTGTGTCCCTTAGAACCAGATTTCTTTTCTTGGTGTGGGAAAAAAGGAAATACCCATACAATAGCAAGGAGGTTGAGTAAAAGCTTAACTGTAGTTTTGGAATCAAATTGTAAACATCAAGAATTCAGAAGGTATTTAATCCATCTATCTATAGATAGACACAGGTAGGTCTACCCAAAGAGAGAGAGATAGATATAGATAGAACAAATATAGACAGGTACAAATAGATTGGATGGATGGATGGATGGATGGATGGATGGATGGATGGATGAATGAATGAATGGATGGACAGATGAACTGATGAAAAGATTTACATTCTTAGCTCTTTCCACTAAAAGGCCTCAAAATAAATGACCAACCTGGTAGCAATGAGTATCTTAACCCCCAGACTGGAATGGGAAATACTACTTTTCACTAAAACTGGAGCTTCTTGCAGAAAAGGCTGATTACAGATTTGGGACAGGACATGTACAAGATGAGTCTGGAGAACCTTCTCATATCAGAAGTCTCTATCATGACTACCAGACCAGAGTCAAGGTTTGGTCGTGTCATTTTAATACTGTATCCTCACCTCAATTTTACCAGGAGAGGGGACAGTGATTCCCCAGTAATGCAGCATACAAGTCCCAAAGTCAAGGGTTGGGGTTCCTCTCCTGAATCTTGACTTCTGGTGCTGACAGAGAGCGGTATACTGGTCTAGACAGAGTAGGAAGGGCATTGCAGGCCTGCACATTAGCTACTGGTCCTGTGTCCATGAGTTTCCACAATGAATGCCACTCCATCCTGGAACATCTGGGCCTACTTGGCCTTTGTTCTTGTTTGCCCGACAGCCAGAAATGATCAAGACATATGTGTTTATCAAACACTGCTGCAAATGTCTTTGATATATGTTTTTATTTAAGTGTACCCTAAAGCATGAAACAACTAGCAATACCATAAACTAGAAAAGAAATACAATGAGGAGATAAATGCCCCTCTTTTGAATCAAATGTGCTTTTCCAGATGCATGTAAATAAATGATAATTCATTTCACCTAGAGGGCCACCATAAACACGTAAAACTGTCAATGTCTACATTATTAAATTATATGTAAAAATCATGTCCTGGGTTGCAAAATAAAACATTTTGCTCTCTGTGGGAAACCAGCCATGTGAAGTACAGGAGCAAATACCACATGAAGAAGAGAAGCCATTTATACCCAAGAGATTTTACAAGTATTTTTAAAATGCCTTTGGGTATTGATAGAATTTCTCCATTATACTTATAGCATATATGGCCATCTGCTCCAACAGATTGTTTTAAAAAGATATGGAGAAAGCATGGTAAATCTGTCTTCGAATTCAGAGGTGAGAGACTCTGTTCATGTGCTCCATTGAGCTGGGTGACTCCTCCCTACTGAGTTTATTGCAGCTTAGTGCAAAGACTGCTTCGGGTTTCCCTTAGGCTAGCTGGGCTTCCTTCTAAGGGACTCCCTAATAATGTGAATTCATGGAACAGTCTTTGGCAAGGGTATTTAGCATTCACTCACAGCTGAGGGAAAATTTACAATGGATATAAATTATCACAATTTTCTGTTAAGGTTAAGGTCTGTGTTTCTCTCATAAGGCAGAAAAATTGACTTTTTTTTTTTCCCCCAAAGATTTCAGTGTTGTATGGCACAGAATGGCCACCATACAAGGGACCAGACAAACTAGTGAAGATGAATCAACTCATCACCATGCTTGGGAAAATACCAGCAAGCAAGCAGCACATTGCAAGTACATGATATTAATAATATACCATAACGGAGACAATATCATCTATCAAATAAAGACTTGGCCCTTTCCCTGAGAGAAGGGTAAAAAGCAGCATTTATCGGAAATAAAGGGGTCACAAAATAGAGGGCTAGGGGAAATGATGAGGCTGTCTTGTGCTTGCTCACCCTGAATTCTGGCCTGTGGATTCCTAATAAATACCTGTCAAAGATCCTCTGCGGCTGCATCACGCTGTTGACAACATGGGTCAGGTGGTCTTGAGCTGCAAGCACTTCAGAGGGAGGATCATATTTATTCACTGCTGAAACCTTTTCCAGAATTAGAGATGTAAAAGGGAAAAAAAGTTTTGTTTCTAAAAAGAAGACGAAGCTTGAATTTTTCCTTAATGAAATGTTGTATACATGCAGCCGGGTATACAAAATAATTTAACACATGCCCATGAATGTTAGTATTCAGTCTTCATGTTTATGCTAATTTTCCTAAAATTTAAGAAATGATAATTATTTTAAAATATTGAGTGGAGTCTTTTGATCTCCTACTTCTTTATACTGCCTGGTTTGGGAGGGAAAATGACAAAAAAAAGAAAACCACCAAACAAAAACCCACAGCCCCTCTAAAGCCTATGATTACTTTTAATATAGTAAACATTCCAACTTTTAATATGTGAAAAATGAATAAAACTTATAGCTGTAGATTCCAGGTTTTGATGCGTAGGGAATGTTTTCCTCATACCATCTCACCAAGAACAATTCCCACAATCTCAAATTCTACCAAAACTTCCTCTTCATTTAGCATAACTTTCTTCATTCAAGGATATGGGCCTTTTCTTCATAATGTACAGTTCTCCATCCCCTTGTCTTTCCCATTCTTCTAAATACATTATCCTCATCTACCATATGCCATATCTTTACTTAATACATAGTTTTAAATTGTATTCCTTTTGCAAAATGTTAAAGGAAAAGAGGAATCTAATAAGTACCTTTGAGTGTGAGAATAATGACAGTCTGGCATCTGTAACTATTTTTAACCAAGATTTCAGAAAGGCATTTATGAGATGGAATACGTGCCTCTCTACATATTTATACCTGTTTTCATTCCCATTTCAAATTTGCATCCAGTGTAAGAAATCCTTCATTAGTAGAGATTTTGGCTGTCACCAACCACTAAAGCAAGACAAAGCAGTGACCATGAGTTTGAAAAGCAGGGAGGCAGGTGCTAGCATTCAAGGTCTGGTTATTCTGGAATTCTGTGACTAGATGAATCATTATTTTAAAGAGCAGAATTAAGGATTTAAAATATCAGGGTAGTGATTTATTTGAGTACCTTTCGATTATATGGTAGAGTGACATTATAGTACATTTTGTTGTTAAATGAATTTTTCAGGTAACACAGATAGAATCACACACCTTCCAAATAGGATAGTTTTTCAAACTGATAGTCTGACATAAAGCTATGACCTATATAAGTGGAGTATTGCTTCTGTTCCCTACGGCCAACCTCTTCACTGTACTAACAGCAAGTCATCAGGCCTTTCACTACATTTGTGTTGATACTCACCTTTGCAGAGGGTTAAACAAACAGATCCTAAGACAAGGAAACATTCCCTAAATGAATTAATGTACATATTGTTATGTGTCTTATTTACTGATTATATTGCTTCCACAGCAGGCAACACGAGCTTTTGAGCATATTAACCCATAAACACAATGGTAATGGTATGACATGATTACATACCTTTTCTTCCACTTTAATCTTCTTCTGATCTAATTCTGTTAATCGCAGAAGCATAAAAATTACGGAGAACCAATATTCAGACTTTTCCTATTTAAAATATTAAGAGGACTGCTCAGTTGCCTTCCTTTTCCCAAAATAACAAGCACCAACATTGGGTTTTCATGAGCTTGGGCCTTTCACCTGCTACCTCATCATTCCCACACACACCCTCACAGGGCTATGCATTTCACACTTCCCAGTTCCCTTACATTAACTTAATGCAGACTGTGCCTTGTAACATATAAAGGTCTTCAAGTGTACACTCTTGTTAATCTCCCTGTGAGATTAGAGATTAACAGGACAGGTGGGTTACCCTCATTTCTTTTTTTAAAATTTAATTTAATTGGCCGGACGAGGTGGCTCACGCCTGTAATCCCAGCACTTTGCGAGGCCAAGGCGGATGAATCACAAGATCAGGAGATCAAGACCATCCTGGCTAACACGGTGAAACCCCGTCTCTACTAAAAATACAAAAAAATTAGCCAGGCGTGGTGGCGGGTGCCCGTAGTCCCAACTACTCAGGAGGCTGAGGCAGCAGAATGCCGTGAACCCAGGAGGTGGAGCTTGCAGTAAGCCGAGATCGCGCCACTGCACTCCAGCCCCTGGGTGACAGAGCAAGACTCTGTCTCAAAAAAATAAAATAAAATAATAATAATAATTTAATTTAATTTTAAGTTCTGGGATATATGTGCAGGACGTGCACGTTTCTTACACAGGTAAGGGTGTGCCACGATGGTTTGCTGGACCCATCAACCCATCACCTAGGTATTAAGCCCCGCATGCATTAGCTATTTATCTTTATGCTCTCCCTGCTCCTGGCCCCCGACAGGCCCCAGGGTGCATTGTTCTCCTCCCTGTGTCCATGTGTTCTCATGGTTCAGCTCCCAGTTATAAGTGAGAACATGCAGTATTTGGTTTCCTGTTCCTGTGTTAGGTTGCTGAGGATAATGGCTTCCAGATTATCCTCATTTCTAAAGGCTACCAAGCCTCAGAAAGGTGAAGCATCTCATCTAAGATCCCGTGGCCAGTGACTTCAACCCTGTCTTCTAACTCCAACAAGTCTCAATTCTGCCAATAATGAAACTTTAATATTTTATATTATTTTGTTATTATTTATATGCAATATTTCATATTAATTTGTATTGTTTATTATGAATTTTTGTAATAATAAAATGATATTCATTTATCAGATAAACTCCTTATTACTCCCTACCATCAGGATTATCTGCCTTTTGGAAATATAATTAGAGTTTTCGTAGTAAAAAGCTATGCCTCTTTGAGGGGAAAAAAGACATTAGATATTAGCAGATAATCCATTATATATTAGGTTGGTGCAAAAGTAATTGTGGTCTTTGCCATTAAAATAATGCAAAAACCACAATTACTTTTGTGCCCTCCCAATAGATGAGACCGTATATGAGGTGAATGTACAAAGCTTAGGTGTAAATGTTGGGGGGAAGGTTTTGTGTATAAATCAATTAACATGTGTCAAAGGGCTTGTGATGCTCATTCATGCGTATGCACAAACACCCTTCAGGGATCTGAAACTGAGGTGTGCTGGCCACTTTAAACCCTGCCTCTTACTTTTCCAGAAATGTTTTTAAATTGCCTCTCACTGTTCCTGTCCCAAGGGCAGTTTTTAATTTATAAATCTTTCTTATATTTTTTTTCACCTATCTAGACATTTTCATCAAGATACACACAAAAAGAAGGTTACTAAGAGCTACATGCAAAGTCAAGAGCCTGTGGAAACTAAGTGAAGGATACAGGTAGAAGAATGGAATGAAGGACAAGCAGACAAGGAAGGAGGGAAGGAGGCCGGGAGAAAGCATCAATCAATGGAGAGAAAGAGAGGGACTCGAAACACAGTCCCCGATCCTTCAAACCCAGAGGTGTGAAGAACTCCTGGGAAATGTATTATTTTGCTCTATAATTATTTTACATATACATCAATTTCATGGCTATATCCAGGTAAATTAGGTATCTAATCTTAGATTTTCTTTCCCTTGTTATAAAATAGGAATCACATTCTGTCTCCACCTATGTCTTGCATTGTCTAATGTGAGAGAACATTGTTCTGTAATCTTATTACCTCTTTCCTGTAACCTTTAGTACCACCAGGGATGAGTCACAAATGACCAGCAGAGCAACTAAATGATATTCAGTTTCAGGCTTTCCTTCACTGACAGTCATGTGACAGCTTGTTAGTCATGAAAGAAGATCTTAAGTCTTAAAAAAAAAACGGTCACTGTAGGTACTACTAAATCCTTCCTTAGAGAGAAGGAAGATAGACAAATTCTAGTCACATTCCTGATATTCTTTTACCAAAAGTACTTCTTAAAGAATTCCTAGATAGTTCCCCTCCACCCTCCCACTTTCTTCTCTCTCTCCCTCCCCTGATATAAGTAATGTCTCACCTGAATTGGATTTTTCAGAAGATTGAGAACTCGAAGGATGGGTAAATTTTTGATGTATTCTATTTCTCTCAGCTCAGCAATCTGTTCAAAGAAAAAAAAGTATCAACAGACTAAATGCACAAACACAACAGAAAATATAACACAATAGGAGCCAGTTTGGGTCCTTTCAATTCAACTTATTTTAAAAATTGCTCTGTCCAGCTTTTTAATGAGAATTCCACAGAACTACACAGAACAAGGGAATGAGTGCATACCCCTTCTATAAATATGCATGCACACAACCACGTTTTCTTTTTTCTTCTCTAGGTAGGGAACAGTAAGTTTCCTCCTCTTACCCACGTTCACTTTAAGGCAGAAATAAAATAGCATTCACAGTCAGAAAAACAGTACAAAAATGCATCCAAGGATGACCTGGTTACCCACCCCACCCCCGTTCCTAGCCCACCAGCCCCCCAACTTCCTTTCCCAATTCTGCTTCTGCCACCCTGGTCATTTGTGATTTTTTTTTTTTTTTTTTTTTTTTTTTTGAGATGGAGTCTCACTCTGTTGCCAGGCTGGAGTACAGTGGTGTGATTTTGGCTCACTGCAACCTCCGACTCCCTAGTTCAAGCGATTCTCCTGCTTCAGCCTTCTGAGTAGCTGGGATTACAGGCACACAGCACCACGCCAGATAATTTTTGCATTTTTAGTAGAGACGGGGTTTCAATATGCTGGTCAAGATGGTCTCAATCTCCTGACCTTGTGATCCACCTGCCTTGGCCTTGCAAAGTGCTAGGATTACAGGCATGAGCTACTGCGCCCGGCCAAAGTCTTCTTACTGCATGCACATATATGGCTTTATCACTTTTTCCACCAGAGAATTAATTCAAGGAAAGGTAAAAAACTAAAAATCGTATGACGTATTTCTTGATGGGTGTGTACTGTTCACCTTGAACTCTTTAGCTAACTTGTACACTTATGTTTTATATACTTTTCTGTATAGGTTTTATTTCACAATTTTAAAAAGTAGCAGAACAGAAAGAAAAAAAAAATGATTGCTTGACAGTTCCTTAATTTGACCAGGAATAGCAGTTGGGTTGTGGCAGGCCTGAATTCTCCACTAAATTAAAAGCAAATAGGTTTATTAAAATTTTTGTAATTAGCATAATTACAATTTTATATCAAGTGTAGATATTAAACTTTTGCAAAAAGTTAATCATCACTTTTTCATTTCTATTTTTCTCCAAATCATTTCTGCATGCATTGGAAAGCACTCCAACAGAAGGGTCACAAATAACTCCTGAGTTATCCAACCACAATACACAATTAAAATGCAAACTAGACCCAAAGCCAAGTCAGAGGACAAACATATGCACCATGTTCAAAGGATGCCATTTTCAAAGATATAATATGAAAGGCGAACACCAGAGTTGCAATCTACAACCTGCACACGTTAATCTTGTTAGAGCAACATTATACTATTATACACATCTTTTTCCATAAGATGACTAAACTGTCCATCAGCCTGCCATTTGGATTATCTTTTTTTTTTTTTTTTTAAAAAGGGATCAATTGTTTTCTATTGTATTATTCAGGGAAGTGGAAAAGTAAACTTGTAAACAATGGATTAATTTTCTTCTAGCATTCCACCTGCTCTTGTTCTTTTTTTTTTTTCGAGATTGGGTCTCGCTCTGTCACCCATGCTGGAGTGCAGTGGTATGATCACAGCTCACTGCAGCCTCGACCTCCCTAGCTCAAGGAATCTTCCTACCTCAGCCCCCCACCCCCAAGTAGCTGGGACTAGAAGTGTGCACTGTCAAGCTCAGCTAATTTTTGTAGTTTTTTGGAGACAGGGTTTTGCCATGTTGCTTAGGCTGTTCTTGAACTCCTGGGCTTAAGCAACCCACCCACCTCAACTTCCCATTCCCAAGTGCTAGGACTACAGCCATGAGCCACCACACTGGCCTGCTCTTGTTTTTGGACCTAACACTAATGTTAAGAGATGTGTTCCTTCATTTATCACGTCTCACCAACAAGTTGTGGCCATGTGCATTTGCATACATTGCTGGTGAGAGTGGAAACTGGTGCATTCTTTCTATAGGGCAACCTGATGTATTTCATGTGTTTCATAAGCTATGAACCAGCTTTCCCACTTCAAGAGGCTTATACTAAAGAGATCATTTGTATCTAATTTTTTTGTAAACATTAGATTTCCCTCAAGGCCATAGTCTCTAAGCATCACCATCCAGATCTAAAGGGAACCACTAAAGTCTTTTCTTTAAAAAAAAATATATATAATATGTAATTTCTATATGTGAAATATTCTATATTCTAATTTTTTGTAAAAAAAATTAGATACAAGAACATTCAGTCTAACATTATCAATAAAAGTAAAAAAAAGTGTAAATTCCTAAGAACACCACGATCATGTAATTAAATGGGTAATAGTACAGTCCTATAGTAGCAACACTACACGCTCATTTTAGAGGATAGTGATATTTACAGTGATTGACATGGAAAGATCTTGATATGTTTCAAACACCATGAACACAGTGGTCATGGAATATACAAAATTATACTGCCGCAAGATGTCAGCTGGGATCAGTTGGTTTTTTGAGAGTCAAATGAAAGGGACCCATTTTCCCTTCCTGGCCTTCCATGGGTAGGATGAGGTGAGAGGGGAGAAGGTATGGGGTGGCCTGGCTTCACCTCCCCATGTCTACTGAATTAGCAAAGTGCCACAGATACTGCTTGCCCTGCATGCACCCTCCCTCTCCTGCACAACCTACCCCAAGGACTCCACCCTCACATCTTTTCTCTGCAAAGCCCACAAAGCCAGGACTGTGTACATAACAGACTTTTACAGCAGGAGTAGAGACAACAGCACCCCAAACAGCTTCCAGTGAAATACTGCCAGAAAAGTTATGTTCCTACGGGAAGTTCAGTCATCTGCTGCCAAGAATGTCATCTTAACACAGTTGATCCCCAGACTCCAGTCCAGCCCATTCTCTCACCTCCTTTGCCCCTATTGACGATAGTCCACAACTCCACCCCCAAAGCATGTTGACTTCCTCTTCTTTTCTTACCATTTCCCTCAAGGCCATAGTCACTAAGCATCACCATCCAGATCTCAAGGGAACTACCAAAGTCTTTTGTTTTAAAAAAAAATTATATATACATATATAATTTCTATATGTGAATATATATTTATATATGTGAATATATAAAAATATATAAGCATATATAAATATATGTTATATATACACACACACATATATATTTGTCTTCTTAGAAAACAATTGGGTACAACCATTAAAATTTTTTTCACTGCCACATTTAAACATAAATCTGTGCAGAAAAATATTTTTCAAACTGCAGGGAACCTATCAAGTAGCTGATGATGTTGGTAAGTGCATTACTGGAATAAGAATCAACAGACGGATCAATGGAACAGAATAAATACTCCAGAAACAGATCTTTTCAGTATTGGTTTTGTTTCACAATTTTAAGAAGGGGGAAAAAGAAAAAACAAGATTGCTTGACTTCCTGAATTTGGCCAGGGTTAGAATTTGGGTTGCAGCAGGCCTGAATTCTCCACTAAACTAAAGACAACTAGTTTTATTTAAGTTTTCTGTATCTTAGTAGAATCTTAAGAGAAATAAGAATGGTGTATATTTAAAAGATGAACCACAAATATTTTTCAAACTGTGGGGATCTATCAACTAGTTGATGACGTTGGTAAGTGCATTACTGGAATAAGAATCAACAGACAGAGCAATGGAACAGAATAAATACTTCAGAAAATATTTACCTCTGTATCAGTGAGAAAATTAGTCTTATTCAATAAAACTATTTGTTAAATGAGTTAATTAATGTGAATTGGTTAGCGTAAGGCTGGGGATATAATGAGTCCTCAATAAATGATAGCTGTTATTATATTACTATTAGATATTGAAAAAAGTAAATTGATTTTTTACATTTTTAGTTATTGTGGATACATAAGAGTTGTACATATTTATGGGGTAAATGTGATATTTTGATACAAGCATACAATGTGTAATGATCAAATCAGGGTAACTGGGGTATCTATCACCTCAAGCATTTATTATTTCTTTGTGTTAGAAATGTGACAATTCTATTCTTTTAGTTATTTTGAAATATACAGTAAAATATGATTAACTATAGTCACCCCATTGTGCTATTGAATACTAGATCTTATTCCTCCTATAAATTAAAATGTTTGTTTCAATTATACCATAAAATAAATTATGGATTAAGAGTTGAAAGGTAATAAAAGAAACCAGGGGGAAAAAGTTTAGGTGAACACCTAACAGATTTCAGAACAGAGAAAGACATCATAAACATTTTTAAAATAATAAAGGAAGACACAAAGAAAAATATTGATGGACTTCAGAAATTACTTTCAAATGTGTAGCAAAAGTACAATGAGTACAATGAAAAGTAGAATGATAATAATATAAATGATAGTCAATGGCATGAATAGACAATTTCTAAAAAGAAAACTAAGTGTCTAACAAACAGGTCAAAAAAATGTTTAACCTCATGGGTAATCAAAAATTTTTATATAAAATAATGCAAAATACTGTTTTTCTCTACCAGAGTGACATAATTTTTAAAAGATATTTGCTCACAAAGGTGTAGTAAGATACACTTATAATATAGTATTCTAACTGGTAGGATATTAATTAGTATGAACCTGTATGAAATATAGTAAGAGTCTTAAAAATGCCTATATCCAGTAATAGTATTTCCAAGAATCTATCCTAAGTAAATCATTTAAAATACACTTAAAGGTTTATATATAAGAATATACGCTACAACAAATTTTAAACATAAATTTCAATAAGTAAATGACTCAATAAATCCTGACATATCCATTCAATAGAATATTTTACAGTATTAATCAGAATTCTGAAATGTTGGGACAATTTACTTCCTACCTTGGAATTAGATGCCCACCTCACACTACCCACAAAAGTAAATCCCAATTGGATTAAAGACTAAATATGAAAAAACAAAACTTGAAATTACAAGAAAATATATGAGAATATTTAAAACCTGGGGTATAGAAAAATTTCTTCAATAAAACATAAAAAGCAGAAATTACAAAAGACCGTAGCGAAGAATAACTTTCAGACCTCATACTCTAGTCCCCAGACATAGAATTTTACTTGATATATAAGTTTTCTAGGGTTTACATAACAAACTACCACAAACCTGGAGGCCTAAAACAACAGAAATTTCTTCCTTCCACAGTTCTGGAGACCAGCAGTCTGAAATCAAGGTGTCAGCAGTCCCGCGCTCTCTCAGAAGGTTCTAGAGAACCCTTCCCTGCCTTCTCCAGCTTCCAGTAACTCCAGACCTTGCTTGGCTTGCAGCAACATAACTCTAATCTCTGCCCCATCTTCGCCTGGGTCATCTCATGGCCTTCTCTGTGTGTGTGTGTCTTCTTCCCTTCAGCCTCTTATCAGGACATTGGGTTTAGGGCCACCCTACATCCAGGATGTTCTTCTCTTTAGATCCCAAACTTGATTACATCTTCAAAGATCCCTTTTCCACATGAGGGGACATTCACAGTTTCCTGGGGTAGGCTTTTTGGAGGAGAGGGGCACACAATTCCACCTGCTATACTTAGTAAGGATTAGCTTCCAAGAGAAGTGGCTCCACGGACAGGGCTTGCCTTCTGTCAGACAGCTGGCACAGCATGCCCCCACCCTGCTGTTGGAATGAGACACTCTGCCTCTAAGGTTTAGGACAAGATAAAGAACCATGCACCAGGGGTTCTGGATGACAGTAAGGAGGCTGGATGGCAGCACTGTCACCCAGTCACCTGAGTCACCTAAGTTGCAAACCCAGGAGTCGTCCTCAGAAACATTTTCTTCCTCATCCACCACCTCCAATCTGCCCTAGTTATTCTTCCTCAGAAACACCTCTAGACCCCAGCCTTCCTTCCCCTTCCTCACTACTGCTACCTGATTGAAGGCCCTCATCCACTCAGCTCAAACCACTCCTCTGATCTCCAGTCACCATCTCCCTTCTCTGCCCTGTAGGAAAACACTCGAGCCTCACTTCTTATACACAATCATTCCAGAATCTCATCCCATGCATCTCAAACATCACCCAAGCACTTGATAGAAGGGACGCAAATCTGGGTATTCCTGAGAGTTCCTGAGGGTCCTGCATTCAGTCAACAAATATTCTTTGTTTTTTTTTAAGAGATAGGGTCTCGTGATGTTGCCTAGGCTGAGGTGCAGTGGTGTCATAATAGCTTACTGCAGCCTCAAACTCCTAGACTCAGGCCATCCTCCTGCCTAACCTCACAAGTAGCTGGGACTACAGGTACATGTCACCATGCCCAGTTATTTATTATTTTATTTTTTTGCGGTGGGGGAAGAGATGGGAGTCTTGCTGTGTTGCCCAGGCTCGTCTCAAAATCCTGGACTCAAGTGATCAGCCTACCTTGACCTCCCAAAGCTCCAGGATTACAGATGTGAGTCACCATGCCTGGAGCCAAGACAACAAATATTCTTCAGTGCCATCTCTGAGCCAGGCATTGCTCAAAGTGAACAAGATAAAGTCCCTGAGCTCTTGAAGCTAACATTCTAGTTGGAAAGCCAGTGAACTCTAACAGATGTGAAACTAGAATATGCAATATGACACAATCTCAGGTAATAGTAAGTACTAATGATAAATTTAAAAGTGTAAAGGGATAAAGAAAACAGGGAGGGGGTGCTGGAGAGGCCAGAGGGGGGTCAGAGGCCATTTTTTGTGAGAGTTTGCCAGAGGCTTAAATGAAATGAAGTGAATTTTTTTGAAGATGAAGGGAAAAGCTTCCAGCAGAGACACCAGATGTTATGAAGCTCCAGAGGTGGAAATACGCTGGATCTGCATGAGGATCAGAAGAAAATGGCTGACTTAACATTCCCAGTCCTTCTGCAAGGAAGCACTCACCCCGCCAGCTGCCCCTGAGAGTGCTGGTCTCCATCCCCAGTCACATAAACTGGCCACTGACAGCCAGTCCTACGTAGCCGGCCTAACCAAGTCAGATGGCGAGGAACATGTGGTCTCCTGGTCAATGGCCAGCACTCTACTCAGTGAGCCAGTGCTAAAGCAGGCAAAGGGCAACTATCCCTGCTGACCCCATCATCATGGAGCCAGGGCACCAGGAAGCAGGCCAAGTCCATCACTGGGATATAAGCATTAAGAAAGGGGTCGGGGCAAAGGAGAAAGTCACATTCACCTTGATCTGAGAGTTCAAAAATTGTTTCTAAAAGTAATGAAGCAGCATCAAAACCTGGACTCAAAGTGTGCACCCATTAGCACTCTCCGCAGAGAGCCAAGACTATCCAGAGAGCAGTTGCTGAGCAGATCAGGATTTCCTGCCTTGGGCATCACCTTTGGGTGTAAGGAGGCCAAAGACCTCCAAGGGGGCCTCCCTCCTATTTGCATCCCAGGGCAGGAGTATGTTGGCCAGGTGGAATGGAGATTGACTTTAGCAGGAGATCTGATCACACCAGCATCAATGGTATGCCTCTGCATCAATGTTTTCAGCCCCTGCAGGCCCCAAGGACTCACCTAGTCCAACCCTTCTCATTATAGGCCTAACCTAACAAACCTAAATCCAGAGAGAAATAAAGTTCACTTAGAAGTCTGATTGGGTTTAATGCCCCCAAAGTTCCTTTTGCTCACATATGTGAAGAGAAGTGTGAGCCAAGGTTCAATGAAGAGGGGGGTAATGCACATTGCTTGCCAGGGACATTAAATGGCATCTGTCTTTGAACAACAAGAAGCAAGGGGTCCTCGTCAAAGAATGTTCTGCCTATACAAAGCATCACAAAAATAGAGTGGAATAATGGCCTTCAGCTGCCATTGTCCCCGTCAGCATTCAAGGAGAATGATTTAGAAGGAAAGCCAGAGCACTGCAAAGAATGAAGAGACAGGAAGCTCTGGGAGGAGCACTTTTATTACTTAGGATTCAAGTTGTCTCCATGCTTCCATTGCTTTATGAGTATTACCTTGCGAAATCCTCACAAAAATTCAGAAAAGTAATTGGGAACCGACAGTGTGAAATAATGACACTGAGACTTAGAGAAGTAAGACAGCGTTTTTCTAAGTCACTCCCAAACTGATATCTTGCTTCTAGAAGAAAGGACTGAGGTTATAATAGAGCTAACAGCTTGGGATATGTTTTAAATGCTGGAAATGATGTAAAATCTAACAAGACTACAGAGTAGAGGGTAACTAAGGTCCCCAAATCCCCAGCTGATGGTAAACATTCTCAAGTGGCCTTAAAAAGATGTTCAAATGATCACATGTGGGTGCTACAATGTCTCAACTGCTAAAACCAAGTACATAATACTGATGCAGTGCTACCATAAAACAATATTCTTAATGTCAGATTAATCATATGAGAAGCAGAAGCTAGGTTATGTTTCTGCCTAATGATAAATTTTCCACCCCTGATACACAGTATTCTCAGTAGTCCTGGAGAGTTCTCTGAGGAACTCTCCTGAAGCCTCAAAGAATATTTCAAAGTACTTCTGGTTGCTCCTCAACCTGCCCAGGGGGGAGCTGGGGAATAAGGTGATTGTTACAGACCTCATGGGTGCCAAAAGATCCCCCTTTGGGACACGTGGCCATTTTTTTTTAACGGATCCTCTTTAACATTTGAAAATTATAAACTCCTTTCTTCACATGATGATACTCCTCTTTTTTCTTTAAAGTTTGTCAAATACAATTTGAAAAGTCTCTTGAAATGGAGGAGAACGACATACTATTTGTGAGGTGTTTCTAGATCTGCACTGTCCCATATGATAATTACTAGCCACATGCAGCTGCCCAGCACTTAAAATATGGCCAGGATGAACTGAGACATACTTTAAGTGTAAAATACACAACGGATGTCAGAAATTTAGTATGAAACAATAGAAAGTTAAATATCTCATCAATAAGTCTGTACGTAGATTACATGTTGAAATGAAAACATTTTGGATCTACTGGGTTAAGTAAAATGCATTATTAAAATTAATTTCACCTGTTTCTTTGCACCTTTTTACTGTGGCTACTGGAGAATTTTAGATCACATCTGTGGCTCACATCTGTGGCTCACGTGACGTTTCGCTGAGAAAGCACTGTATTGGGGCATTACAACAGGCCCTTTCAGAAGGGAGGCCCATTAGCATTTTATGTACTATATCACCCTGCAGAGGTTAAGAACATTGAAACCGGAGGCAAACCATTCTCTGTTTGCAGACTGGCTCTGCTATTTGCTGGATATATGACTTTGGGCAAGTTACTTAACCTCTTTCTGCCCCTGTTTCTTCATTTGTAAAATGAATAATGGGTTATAATGAGGATTAAATGAGATAAAGTGCTTAGGAAAGTGCCTGGTGCATAAAGATCCTCAACAAATATCTCTAGATTATTTTATGATCGGAATTGTTACTATTATCATTACTGTTACTCCTTTTCCTAAATCCTTAGATGCATTGAGTTGAGATTTAATGAGTGCTTTCCACCTTTTCAACAGCCCCTGTATATATGTGAGAACCATTTTAAGTAAGAAATTTTCTAAAAATCAGCCTTCAATGGCAAATGCATGAAAAGGACACTAAAACCACACGAGACGGAGATTGTGCGGACTTCCTAAGACACGTGGTACAGTGAACAAAGATTGTCCATTAGAATTAACTGGAGAAGTTGCCAAAACAACTAAACATACAAGTCAAGGACTCACGCCTGTAATCCCAGCACTTTGGGAGGCCGAGGCAGGTGGATCACGAGGTCAGGAGATAGAGACCATCCTGGCTAGCGCAGTGAAACCCCGTCTCTACTAAAAATACAAAAAAATTAGCTGGGCGTGGTGGCAGGCGCCTGTAGTACCAAGCTGCTCGGGAGGCTGAGGCGGGAGAATGGCGTGAACCCGAGAGGTGGAGCTTGCAGTGAGCCAAGACAATGCCACTGCACTCCAGCCTGGGCGACAGGGAGAGACTCCGTCTCAAAAAAAAAAAAAAGATACACACACACACACACACACACACACACACACACCACACACACACACAAGTCAAGGAGAATGAGGAGGAACAGTTTCGTCTGTGATTCAAAACTAATCTGTTCCCAGGACTAATAAATGACTTTTCTTGATTCTTAGCAACCAAACAGATGAGGGAAGTTTGTTGGAAAACAAGGCTCATCGCGCAAAACTGACAAGCACCACCACAGCAGAACACAGCAAGATCCCCACTAGAGGCCAGCTCACTTGAGCTCACACCAACTGTCCCTTTCAGGCTCAGCCCAACTTTTCATTTTCAAGAAGAAATAAACATTCAACCTCCTTATGAAAGTGTTCTCCCAAAAATATGATGAAGTATTCAATATAAATAAAATAACTTTGTAGACCTTACAGCATAAGAAGTCAGGTAAAGTTACCAACTGAATATACCATGATTAGGAGCACAAATGCTTTATTAAAAATAAAATATAAGAACGAAAGCCCGTTTCTGTGATTTTTGAAGTAAAGTGTGCATTATTAAGCCAGACATTAAAATTTGAAGAAACCCAGTCCCCAACCCATCACGTAGATTGGTAGATAAGAACTCGCTTCCTGTGCCTCCTCTCTTTATTTTTAAGGGTTTAAGCCTTTCCTAAGGTATTTGCAATTTTAAACGTTTTAATTTTTTTAAATTGACAGATAAAATTATAGGTACTTACTGTGTATAATACGATGACTTGAAATTCATCGCATCATCCTGTTACATTGTGGGATGGCTAAATCTAGCTTTTTAACATATGTGTTACCTCGCAAAGTAATCATTTTTGTGGTAAAAATGTTTAAAATCTACTCTCTCAGCATGGAAAAATACAATATATTTTTATTAACTATAATTGCCATGTTATACAATAGATCCCTGGGACAAACTCCTTATGTAACCGAAATGTTGTATCCTTTGACCAACATCTTCCCAACACTTCCCTTACCAAGGCCCTAGACTTTTCTTTAAATGGCAGACATGTAGCAACACCAGCCTATGGCTATTCTTATATCTCCAACCTCCTTACTCTGATATTTCAGACATTCCTACTGCCACATTTCTACACAAAATTTTGTATGAACACGTATACTTCAGAAAATCATCCACACGTGATTGCAGTTTAAACATTAAAAATAATATAATTAGGAATCATCACATTTTCAATAATTAAGATTTTAAATACTTTTTAAAAACAATCCTTCTGCAACTACTCTAGGAATTTTGCTGGAACAATATTTCTAAGCTGGCATTTAATGTGTCCACCCTTGAGAAACCAAAAATGAAGTGTTTGTGCTTCTCTAATATGTCCTCTTATGTCGACACTGAAACCAAGACATGTGAAGTAAAACACTACCTTATTATCCTCCAGGTCGATCACTTCCAGGAGGTCATGATTCTCTAAGCCTTGGAGGCTGCTTATCTGATTGTGGGACAGATCCAGATTCTGTAGGGCTTTTAGATCCTCCAAACCTGTGATTGTCTCAATCTGGTTATTGCTCTAAAATAGACAAAATACATTTAATGTCTCAAAGACCTCTCAAGGAAAAGTTGTAATGGCAAGTTTTCATTTTGGATACTGACCCAAATCTCTCTAAAAAAATCAGTAAGGCATTCTTGTCCTTCCCTCCATCCCATTTCCATCATTCACCACTCTAAACACATACACATATCCCAGAAAGAAGTTCCAGTGTTTCAGCTGGAAAACTCAGAATATAATATTTTCATTAAGGTTAAAGCAAGATGAGTATTCAAATCAGTAAGAAAGAAAAAGGCAGGTAATTTAAGCTTTTAACACTGCACACCTAAAATGTAATGACAGCATAACTCCAGATATATCATTAGAAATATAAATGTAATGTAATTATTTCATCATCATCATAAGAAGCCACTTGACTCACTTGACTATTATAATCCCCACATACATTTTGTTTTCAGCAACACCCTAAATATAATCACTCATGTGGTGAGGGTGCTAGTAGTCTGTTATCTTAGTGTTCTCCAATGAGTCATGCCCCCAGTTATTCCTGCCCTTGTGCAGTTCCCTCCATTCTTTTTTTTTTTTTTTTTTTTTTTTTTTGAGAAAGAGCCTGGCTTTGTAGCCCAGGCTGGAGTACAGTGGCACGATCTCGGCTCACTGCAACCTCTGCCTCCAGGGTTCAAGTGATTCTCCTGCCTCAGCCTCCCGACTAGCTGGGACTACAGGTGCGCACCACCATGCCTGGCTTATTTTTGTATTTTTGGTAGAGATGGGGTTTCACCATGTTGGCCAGGCTTGTCTTAAACTCCTGACCTCAAGTGATCCACCCACCTTGGCCTCCCAAAGTGCTGGGATTACAGGTGTGAGCCGCTGCACCTGGCCGCGGTCCCCTCCTCTTAAACTAGGCTGGACCTATGACTTAGCTTCACCAAAGAATATGGTAGAAGTATGCCAGTTCCAAGCCTAAGACTTAAGAAGGCCTGGCAGCTTCTGCTTTTGTGTGTCAGAAGTACTGAGCTACCACATAAGAACTGCAGTTACTCTGTTGGAGAGAACTTGTGGAGAGGTTATATGGAAAAGGAAATGTCACATGGGGAGACATCCTGACACTAAATAGAAAAACCTAGCCATCCCAGCCTCTTAACTGAGCCAAGCCCCCAACCAATATGCCAGGTAATGCAGCAAGCCCAGTGGAAGAACCTCCCAGCTGAGCCTGGCTCAGATTGCAGAATTGTTAGTTAATACAATGGTTATTTTTCCAAGTCACTAAAACTGTGGTAGCTTGTAATGCAACAGTAGATAACCAAACCAAGTTTTTCAATAATTCACACAAAAGCATCTTCCTCACCAATGAGAATAAAACAAAGATTTAAGACTGAAATGTTGTCTTCTTCCCCAATCTCCATATACCCATAACAACAAATGACAATAACAATAATTCTCTTCCCTCTGTATTTTCCCTGGTACATTTGATAGCAAGAGCTCATTTTCATCCTATTTTTTTTTTAAAAATTTCATTTCAATAATGAGCAAGATTTGTGTTCATTAGTTTAATTCTATGGCTTTAAAACCATGTCAATAGAATGTTGATAATCTACAAAGCTAAGTGATAGCACACAAGGGTTTATCATAGTATTCTTTTTATTTTTATTTGAAAAATATCATAATAAATAGAAAAAAATACCCATAATCCATTTGCCAAAGTACAGTCAAATTTCCTTCTGTCCAGAGTTCAAATGTTATATAAAGTATAATAGAAAAGGGAAAGAAAAAAACAAACCAAACTTAACATCATATCCATATTAATTTAACATACTGCAGTAAGACCCCAATAGCCTATTCAAAATATCCCCACATATCAAATTTATATACAATATATTTCTTCCTAAAGAACTCTGAAATGCTTTAGATGTGGTAGATAGACTGTAATTCTTAATACACTTCTTCCCAGAGAACTTTGAAGTCCTTTAGGTGTGGTAGATAGACTGTAATTCTTCCCACAGTATCTCTAATGGCTTTCAAAGTGGTAGATGACATGAGAAGAGTGAGCATAGAAAAGTTTAATTAGATAGCCTATAGTCATAAAAGAAACCAGAACTGAAAAAAATTTAGAATCACAGAATTTCTGAATTGAAAGTTTTCTAGTTAAACTCTTTATCCAATGCTGAAAAACCAATGCATCTCTCCTAAAAGTGGACATCCAGCTTCTGCACAAAAACTTCTTTCTGCTTGTTTCATAATGATTATTTGGGAAAAGACTTTTAGAATAAAGCCATTTTCTTGAATAAATGAAATTAGAAACATTCTTAACCAACCAATTTTGGAAGAAAAAAACAAGCAGTGTTTACTGTGACAAAATGAATTTGGAATGCATTGTTATTACTTGCTAAGAAGCTGGGAGACAGAATAGCCCATTAGTGAACCACATTTTCCACTTATATTAATCACAAAAGTTCATATTCGAGAATTAACAGTTGATTTGTATGGTGAGTTGTTCTTCTTTCTCTAAATTGTAAATTATTTTCAATAGTAACTAAAGCTGCTGGTTTCCTGATTCCATGAATTAAAAATAAAAGCATTAAAAACTATTGAAACAAATTTTACAGATTTTATTAAACTTTGGAAAAGAAAACCTTTCTATTCTCAAAAAATTAAGAAAAATGAATGATAGCATATTCCATGTATTCTAGTTGATCTTGGGTGATGAGGGCAGAGATAGGGAACAATCCACCAAATCTAAGAAAATAGAAGTATTCTATCCTTTTTCTAAAAGCTACCTGAGACAGAACTGTCAACATGGATTATTTCTTTTGTAATTGAAACACACTCTTAGGATGAAAATGCTACATATTATTATTCTTAATAATGAGTTCATTCTCATTTCCTTAAGCACACCCCTATATCTTTTTCTATTTACCATGCTCCACTTTAAATGAATGGGAACATCAATACAGAGAAGATACGTAAAGAAAAGAACAAGATTCCAACAGACCACAAAATGAAGCATACATGCTGCTAAAAAATCCTTCAGACTGTCATAATTTTAAAATGTGACTTTCTTTTCTAACTTGAACATTTTCAATCTAATTTATCAAATTCGTTTTCATTTATGTTTGGCTTACATACCTTCATGGGCAGAAAACATGAAAGATCAGGAAAATTATTAAACCCCTCAGGTTCATCCTCAGTACTGGGATGCCAGTACTTTATCCTGACCTAACTCACTGCAGGAATGGAAGAGGTTTGGTTTGTGGTTTTTGTTGTTGTTGTTTGTTTTGTTTTGTTTTGTTTTGTTTTTGAGACAGAGGCTCTCTCTGTCACCCAGACTGGAGTACAGTGGCACAATCTCGACTCATTGCAACCTCTGCCTCCTGAGTTTAAGCAATTCTCCTGCCTCAGCCTACCGAGTAGCTGGGATGATAGGCACCCGCCACCGCGCCTAGCTAATTTTTGTATTTTTAGTAGAGATGGAGTTTCACCATCTTGGCCAGGCTGGTCTTGAACTCCTAACCTCGTGATCCACCTGCCTTGGCCTCCCAAAGTGCTAGGATTACAGGCATAAGCCACCACGCCCCGCCTGGAAGAGTTTTAAGAAAGCACTTCGAGCTCTAAGCTAAGGGAAAAAAAAAATTAACACATAGCCAATCTTCAGTGATCTATGGTTAAATAAGACAGAAATAGTGTATTGCATATGTCAAAAATCAGCAGATAATCCAAGATGTCATTTCTTTTTTTTGTTTTGTTTTGTTTTCTGAGGCAGGGTCTCACTCTGTTGCCCAGGCTGCAGTACAGCGACATGATCATGACTCACTGCAGCCTTGACCTCCTGGGCTCAAGTGATTCTCCCACCTCAGCCTCCTAAGTAGCTGGAACTACAGACTTGCGCCACCATGCCCAGCGAATTTTTTATTTTTTGTAGAGACAGGGTCTGGCTATGTTATCCAGGCTGGTCTCAAACTCCCGGACTCAAGTGATCCTCCCACCTCAGCCTCCCAAAGTTTTGAGATTACAGGCATGAATTGTAGTGCATGGCCCAAGATGTCATTTCAAGCAACAGTTTCAACAACCCTCTGTGGGATAGTTCTCGTAAGAAATTTACAAGCTACAAGCCTCATGGCTTGAAATCCCACCTGCCCACCCCATGATAGATGTAATGAAGAACAACAAAACCACCCAAGGGGGTAAGAGGTAGGAGGAAGGAGAATAAAGAATCCTGGATATTTTACAGACAATACTGTAGACCCCCAAGTTAGGGAGCTATACTGTTATTTCAAAAATATTGTGCATATCTTTGGGACTATTAGAATCCTGCTGAATTTCTGAAAATTGAGTCATAGTCACACAGCAGGTCACACAGCTTCAAAAGAATGCCCTCTGTGGGAAAAAATAACCCCATTTAAACTTTCTGATTGGAATTGTTCATTTATTCTTAGCACTCTTTTTTATTTTCTAGAGTGGAAGACTAACTAACACATGTTAAAATAAAAGGACTGTCAAAATTCAGTGCCCAGAAAACATCTTGTGGTTCATTTGAAAGCAGTTAAAGTGTTAACAGCAATAAATACTATGCTTAAGTATCCTTAAATGTTATTTTCACCAATAAGATACTATAAAAAATATTTGTAAATACATGCTAAAAGTATACCTTTCTTCCCTAGTATAAAAAAGTCAACTTAAAATATTGAATTTGGATAACAAATTAGCAAATCATTTTACTTTAGCATGAAATATTGCTTTCTGTCTCTCTTTCTCTCTCTCACAACCACACACGCACACACACATGCAAATGGTAAAGAAAGGAGTAAACAAAACTGAAGACAATAACATTTCATGAAGGAATTTGCTCTTTATATATTTGAATCCTAAGTAGTCATAATTCATGCAGTTACTAAAAATATGAACTACTACTTCTATAAAGAAGGACATTTTGTTAGACTCACCAGACTAAGTATTTTGATTGGTAACTTGTTTAAGCCATTAATTGTCATGATCTTGTTGTTGGCCAAACTAAGGTGAGTTAGATTGTTGCACTTCTCTAGTCCACTGATTTCTTCTATCTCATTGCCTATATACCATGACTACGTTTAAGGAAAATGTTATTAAAAGCATTTGGAAGAAAAAAAGAATCAGTGTTAAATCATCAGTAGACAAAGCAGCCCGCAGCTTAAATAAAGAATGATTATATGCCCAATATAGGATGATTATTAATCCTGAAGTACATTTTTCCATACAGAACATGTCATATTTTATACAATTTTTATTTTAAAAAGGCATAGCAGCCGGGTGTGGTGGCTCATGCCTGTAATCCCAGCACTTTGGGAGGCCAAGGTGGGCAAATCACGAGGTCAGCAGATCGAGACCATCCTGGCTAACATGGTGAAACCCCATCTCTACTAAAAATACAAAATTTAGCTGGGCGTGGTGGTGGGTGCCTGTAGTCCCAGCTACTCGGGAGGATGAGGCAGGAGAATGGTGTGAACCTGGGAGGCGAAGTTTGCAGTGAGCCGAGATCGTGCCATTGCACTCCAGCCTGGGCGACAGAGCGAGACTCCATCTCAAAATTAAAAAGGCATAGCTTTTGAGTGTGCTGGGTTGTATTTGACTCATTTAATCGGTATGGAAAGAAAAATCACCGTGGCTCATAGCTGCCTCGTTGGCACTGTGTTTTCCCTTGATCAATTAAGTCCCCATGAGAAACTCATGTGTGTTCCCACAGGCAGAACTTCTGACTACCAGATCGCCCTGCAGAGGCAACATGCACCAAGCATTATTATCCTCATAACTGGGCTAAGAGCCTGGGAGATGTCATCTGTAGCAAATGGGTGGTCCAAAGACCAATACCCTGTTATAGAAAGGAACAGCCCTTTCTTTCTGTCTACATTGACCTCCATTCTCCTTGTAAAATCAATGAGGCTTAAACTCTGCCTTACTTTCTTCATCTGTTAAGTTCCATTTATTGTGAAAATTTTAGCTTATCTTCTGTGTTCCATCTTGTAGTCACCTAACACTACAATCTCAAAGTCATTAATTCTGTTCAGCTCTCTCTGTTCTCAAACTCTTTGACCAGTTTCCAGGATTTAATGTCATTTCCCCATCAAAGTTCAGTTTTTCCTCTCAAGTAACTCATGACATCTCCATTTCTCAGCCACTCATAATCTGCGAGGCATCCAATCACCAAGACCTGCCATGTTTTTGCCTTAAAATATCTCTTTAATGATTTCTTTCCTTTTTATTCACTCGTCTGCCAACTTAACTCACCGTTAATATCAACAGTTACACGAATATCCATTACTTTCTGCCCTAAAGTCACTCTATACACTGTAGGCTGATTAATTTTTTAAAATATTGATTGAATATCATGTTTCAATTTAAAAATTCTCATCGAATTCCAAATTCCTCACTCTTCTATCTAAGGCCCTTTACTATAAGCAAAACCTGTTTATCCAGTTCCATCTACATTATCATCCAATGAGAATACCCTATTCCTGCCAGGTCAATTTCTCAATAGTTCTGGAATGTACCAAGAACTTTTTCCTACTTCTTTCTAAACCACATCCATTCGTCAAGACAACTCCAAATCCCACTTTTTTCTTTTTTTTTTTAACATTCACATTAAATCAATATCTTAAGTATTTCTTTTTGACATATAACATTCATTCTCTTACTATTTATCTTCTATTACTTTTTAAATACATAAATAAGTGAAAATGATAGGCTACGAGAACATGTTCACAACATATATTAGCAGACAAAAGATTCTACCTAGAATACATTAAAAATGACAATAAATCAATAGAAAAGAAACAACCCAATAAAAAATGGACAACGAATATGCCCAGGCAATTTCCAAAAGAGTGAATCCAAGTGGCTAATAAACATATGAAAAGACATTCTGTCTCACCTGTAGTCACGAGAATGCAAATTAAGATAAGCTGCCATTCCTTACCCATCAGCTTGGCAAACATTTTAAAGTAAAAGGTTTTGAGTAACAGATACTTTTATACTACTGAGAGAGTTCATTATGATATAGCCACTTTAGAGGCAATTTTGCAATGTCTATCATAACTGTAAATATGTCACAGCCATTCCATTTCTTAGTATATATTCTAGACAAACCATTTCTTCCTCAAAGCCTCTCCTGGTCATCTTCTAATCTCCAGCTATCTCCTTCCATTAATCTGAGAAACAAAGAATTTTTTTAAAAAAGAAGGAAGTCATAAATACTATAAAAACATTATGCCTCCATAATTATTTGTAATTATCCCAACTCTACTACTTAGTAGATTTTTCATTTAAAGTGGGGATAGTATCAGGTGGCCATTAAGGCCAAAAGTTAGGCCATGGGAAAAAAATTAGAAAATGGGTGTGAATGAGCAGCAAACCATAAATCATCTCACAATTAAAAGGCATTGATATCATTACCAAATTACATTACATGAGGCCAAGGAAGCACGTCCTCTATCTCTTGGCCAATAGCACAGAAATGAAAAATTCGAGGTTAGGATTAAGCCTGAAAATACTTAGGCCAGAGAAAGAGGTAAATAAGGAAACTAGACAAAAATGTAAAATGTACCAGAAATTCTTGGGTTTTCCTCAATGGTTTCAGTTTCAATCCTTGGATTGAAGTACAGCTCTGTTTGTGGTCAATATGCGTTTTCAAATCTGTTTCCATAAAGCTTCCTGCCAGAATAGCCCTTCAAACAGATGTGTGTGCTCGCAAATACTATCCTTTCTGGTTCTATTTTCTTTGGGCTGCTTAAATAATTGTTCTGAAACTAGAACAAAGACCAGATCTTTGTAGATACAGATTGTAACAAAATATGAATATGAAACATGAGAAATAGGAGATCAAACTATCTCACTCAGGTATGGATGAAATAAAATACCCTTGGAGCGGGCAATCTTTGGCAACAAAAACTATGCAAGGAAAACTTCGAATGGCCATCTGTCTCAGTTTAGCAAAGACAAGAATCACGTTTAAGTCCTATTTTAGGAGCACTAGAGTGTCCTGGTAGCTCTACCCCAACCAAGGTGAAGATACTCTGAATCACGGCAGAATAAAACCAGTGCTTGTGGGTATCTGCCTCAGGAAGTCTTCTCATGGGAAGCAGGCAAGGATCAGAAAACTAGAAAACAGGAATCCTGAAATTATCAAGAGATATCAGGAATCAAAAAGGAAAGCTTGTTTATTATGTCTACAGTAATTTTCTAAGACATTAGAGGCTAACCACAGTTCCCTTGGTACATCCAACTTACTCTCTGGCTTGGACTCCCACAGCTAGTCATGTGTTCTGAAATTAGCACTGCAAGGACAGAGAGGAGGAGGAATTCAGACGCTCACTGCAATCACAGCCATGGTTTCTGCAGGTACCATTGCAGTCACTAACAGCACTGGGGCAAAGGAGCAGGAGTTGCCTGAACATCTCTGTTGAGAAATATGCTCATTCCAGAAAAATTATTTCCTCCTATTTCTCAGCTTTTCACTCTCCTTTAAATATCAGGGAACTTCAGCACTCTAGATTAATCAGGCTTCTGAGTATAGAGAACTTTCTATAGTGACACAGCAGCTTTTTCCTCTACTTGCTCCCACAGTCACCTCATGTGTGCCTGGGGGCACTGCCAACAGTCAATATGCAGGCCTGGGCCATAGAGAGCTTTGAGTTCATAGTTGGTCTTCAATATCTTTATCTCCCCAAACTCTCGTTCTCTTAAGAACCTTCAGAAAATGTTACTTGCCCTTCCTCCTAACGTTATTCGTGTTCTTTCATAGGTCTTGGGACTTCCTGATAAAAAGAAACATAATCTGATAAATCACTACACATTACAATGAGTTAGCTTACTGGGTTAATCCTCTTAGGTATATTTTAATTTTAAAAGACCGCTATCGGGAGAAAGAAACTCAGAAGAACTCAAAATCATCATACCACATTCCAGCTCTAAACTTTTATGATTCTGTGAATAAATCTTTTAAAGTGAAATTGCAGATCCTTGGGGAAACTGAATGAAAGAATCCTGTGGCACTTAAGCATAACTTTACAACTGGGGAAAAACCCAACAATATATTTTTACATTTTGACGATGCTGTCAGTAGTTCACAATGCTTGACATGAATTATTCACTAGTTCAGTATTTGCTCTTATTCATTTGTCTACAATCATAAAATATGGTTCGGGTGTATAGAAAACAGTTACTGAGAAATAGTAGGAAATCCATCACAGTCTTCTTAGTGGAGAGAGCTGCAATGATGGCTTTAATCAAAACCAATCCTGAAAGATCTATATCACCTTACCAGTGAAAAATGCTCTTCACTGTGGGAGAGAATCTCTCCAAGAAATGAAACATGCATAGTTTAAATGCCTCTGTGACAAAAGTTGTAATTACTCAATGAATTGCAACATGGGAAAAACAATGGAATTCAGAAGTCTCAGTTCAACCATTTAGCAAGTTGTTGACCCTTCTGGAGTCCCAGGCTCCTCTTCCATAAAATAAAATAGTGATTAGCACTAGCTGATCTCTAAATTTCTGTCTGGAATTAAATTTCTATGAATTTTTAAATTCCATTATTCTATCATGATAAATTCTAATAAACAACTAGCCAATGTTTATAGGTAAAGAATAAACTGTACCCTTTCTTAAGAACAAATATACTTACTTAACCTTGGCAAAGCTTATTGTATTGCAATTTAGGATGATTATCAATTAATCATCAATTATCCACATATGGAAAGACAAAATAGTGTAAGATAAAAAATTGGTATCTTATAGTTACCGATTCATTCTGAAATATTGATATAATCTACTACAATTACACTGTTGGTATTACTAGCTCAACTGATTTGTTTTTATTTTAAAGAATTATTTTCAAAGAAATTAATTTAGAATTTTCAGGTTTTTAAATTTTTACATAGAGCTGAGTTAAGTTTAATACTTGATTCACCATTGACCTATGCTTGACTGATTTTATTTTTAAAATATGAGCATGCTTGAAACTAGTGCCCCTCAGCCCGATCAGTAGAAAATTAACAACTTGAACCTACCTCTGCATACCTCTCCTGTCAAATCCCTGTGTCTCCTTCCCAGAGATAGTAACTATGCTCAGTTGTCTCTTTCCTCTTACCTTCCTCCCTTAGTTTTAAGCCTAAATTTTATTTACATGCAGGTAGATATATTTCATTCATTTTCTCATACTGTATGATATGCTGTTGTGTGACTATACCATAACTCATGCTTTCTCTTATGAATGTGTGTTTGGGCTGTTTCAATTTTTTACTAGTACAAGCAATACTGCTATGAACATTCTTATACAATGCTCCAGGTACACATATGCTAAACTTTCCACGTGTAGGAGTAAAAGTACTAGGTCATAGCGAACTTGGATGCTCAACTTTATAAGACAATATAAAATTGTTTCCTACGGTGGTTGAACTAATTTCATACCCACAAACAAGGTAAAAAGATCTTCTGGATCTACAAGTTCTCCAACACTTGGTATGTTTTGATTTCTTAAGTTTTGTCAATTGAATGGATATAATACAATATCCATTAATATCCATTAAGAGCACATATCATATGGTCTTTAGTTGCATTTATCTGAATACAAATGAGGTTGATATCTCTTCTTATGTTTATTTGCCTTCTCTGATTTGTTTTCCATAAAATTCTTTTTCTCATCTTTTATTTTGCCCATCTTCTTATCCAGGGACATGCGATATATTTCTCTTTAGTTAGGCCTTCAACACCCTTAAATAGAGTTTTGTTAGTCCCCCTACCCCCACAAGTCTTATTCATCTTTAATAAGATTTGTTTTTGTTGTTTTTATAAATGGGTTTCTTTTAAAAGTTGTTTTCTAATTGCTTGTTTCTGGCATACAGAAATGCAACTGATTTCTGTTTATTGAAGTCATCTAGTCATGTTGTTGAACCCTCAAAACTCTATTATTTCTAGTAGCTTATTGCACATTTTTAATATTCTCTATAGATAAACATGTCATTTGCAAAGAATGACTTTTATGTTCTCCTTACTAACCTTTACACCTTTAAGTTCTTTCTCTTGTTTTATGGTGTTGGCTAAGACCTCCAAAATAATGATGGGTTGAAGTGGCAATGGCAGACACCCTAACTTGTTCCCATCTTAAAGGAGAAAGCTTAGAACATGTCCCCAGTTAGGATAAAGTGTATTTCAAAGATTTTTATAGACATCCTCTATGAATTTGTGGAAATTCCCTATTACTAGTTCACTGAGAGTTTTTATTGTGAATGAGAGCTGGATTTTATTAAATTGTCTGTTGAGTCTCTATATCTCTGGATCATAAGGTTTATTTCCCTTAATCTATTAACATAGTTAATTATGTTTATAGATTTTCTAATATTAAACTCTCCATACACTCCTGAGAAAAACCCAATTTGGTGGTAATACATAGTCTTTTTAATACACTGTCAGATTCTGTTGCTAATATTTTGTTTAGGACTTTTACAGATATATCATGGGTGAGACAAGCCTGTCATTTTCCTTTCTCTTATTGCTCCTTGGCTGGCTTAGATATCAAAGTAACCTCATTAAAATGAATTGTGAATATGCCTTCTATTTTTAGTGTTTGAAAGAATTTGTTCACTATTGGAAGGTCTGTTTTGAAAATTTTGGGTCTAGGCTTTTTTGGTAGAAGATTTTTAATTTTTTAATTTAGCTTTTTTTAATTTATAATAAATTACTTTTATAGTTATAGGACTACCCAGGGTTTCTATTTCCAAGCTAGATGTGTAATATTTTCCTAGGAATTTTTGTATTTCATCCAAGTTTTCAACTGTACTGACATAAAATTTGTTTCAAAATTCTCTTTTTAATCAAACTTTTAATATTTTCAAAAACAGTCTAATCTAGTGATTTTTCTTCTCAAGACCTTAATTTATCATCTAGATACATTTTTGCTTTCTGCTGTCCAGAAAAGCTTGTGCAACTTCACCACCTGTATCATGCACAATATGATATGCTTACACAGAACCGGAGAGAAATAAGTTTATTTCATGCTGTTTCAAAACTAGCCTACTATCTTTTCAAAAGATCTAAGAAGTTTATTTCATTAACAGTTGATGAATGATAGTTTGTTTTTGCATTTTTTAAAACACAGGCAAGAAATGGTGCCACGTTACACTCTAATTATATACCCATGTTCTGAACTTCTATTGGTTTTGATGTAATAATTACAGCTTTTTATACTTTAGTGATAAGACTCAATTGCTACATCTAATGTCAAGGAAAAAAAAAAACCCTGATTCCTTTTTTCATGATATCTGACATTTACAAAGTCATGATACTTTAGTTTTTACACGGAAAGCTAAATGTATATAGAAATTAAGACTCTCATGATAGAAATGTTTTCAACTGTGTTTTGAGTCCAAAATACTGCGGAGTTGTTTTCTTTGGCAATTCCATGTCAAAACATGGAATGTTTTCTGGGGGAACAAGAGATCTCCATAACAAACTCCAGACTGTCATGTCACCATCAGCATTCCAGGTACCCTAATTGCTGAATTCTTCTGGCTAGCAAGAATTTAGGGGCTGCTGACTTCTAGACCAACCAGTGTTTTTGTTTGTTTTTGTTTTGAGATGGAGCCTTGCTCTGTCGCCAGGCTGGAGTACAGTGGTACAATCTCAGCTCACTGCAACCTCTACCTCCCAGGTTCAAGCGATTCTCTCGCCTCAGCCTCCCAAGTAGCTGGGGACTACAGGCACGTGCCACCACGCCCAGCTAATTTTTGTATTTTTAATAGAGACAAGGTTTCACCATGTTGGCCAGGATGGTCTCTATCTCTTGATCTCATGATTCGCCCACTTTGGCCTCCCCAAGTGCTGGGATTACAGGTGTGAGCCACCACTCCCGGCCTAGACCAACCCCAGTGTTTCTTAAGCTTTAATGTGCGCTCAAATTGCTTTGGGTGGGGGGGTCTTATTAAAATGCAAATTCTGATTTCTTAGGTCTGCAATGGAGCCCAAGAATCTGCATTTCTATGAAGTTCCAGGTGATGCTGCTGCGTGGACCTTCCTGTGAAGCACTCTACACAGCCTGAGATAAATGGATGTCTGAGCCAGATAGCTTCTGGACTGTCCGGCTATCTCTTTGCAAACTCAAAATATACGATAGTCAAGCATGAAGTGAAGGTTCTACAGAGATACGCTGCTAATGTGTATGCTTTTAGTTTGTCAACAAAATGTGTTATTTTGGTCACTTTCTGATTTGTCTGTTAGACTATAATCAGAAAAACTTGCTCATTTAAGCATCATCTAAATGTCCACTAATTGCTCATTTTCACACACAGGTTCTAAAGAGAGTGGTGCTATGTTCCAAGCTTTCCATCATATATGAATAAAGGATTTTTTCTTTTACGAGATACATCTTCAAGAAGATGTACCCTCTGTTGTCCCTCATCTCAGGCTTATCACAAATGTAGTATGTACTAGCTGCTGTCATATCCCTGAATGAGGCACCCAAGGCAATCAATTCATTCTCCATTCTGTCCCCAAAAATCCTCAGGTGAATAGAAGGATACTTACTGAGAAAGAGAAGTTACGGGCTCCCCTGCCACCAAGAAAACATCAGTCTCTGGTGTGAAGAAGAGACTCAAGCTCATTAAACTCAGGATCTCCAATTAGCCCCTTAGGCTCTAGAAGTTGGAGCTCGCTGTCTTTAAAGTAGGTGCTCTGCTTGCATGGGAGCCTGGCTCATGAAATAGGTATGTTCAAATCATATCAAAAGTTCTTTTTTTAAAAAAGGAATGAAAGCATATTTAAAATACATTAGAAAAGCTTACTATTTAAAGAGAACTTAGCATGAACTCATTGTAAAATAAATAATCACTAATTTTCCTTATGACCATATCTAGATTTTCAAATACTGAATTTATATAAAATAGGACACAAGTTTCAGTAAATTTGAAGAAAGGAGTTAATTTTTTTTTTTCTTTTGAGACGTAGTCTCACTCTGTTACCCAGGCTGGAGTGCAGTGGCACAATCTTGGCTCACTACAACCTCTGCCTCCTGGGTTCAAGCAATTCTTGTGCCTCAGCCTGCCAAGTAGCTGGGATTACAGGTGCGCCCCACCACACCTGGCTAATTTTTGTATTTTTAGTAGAGGCAGGGTTTCCGCCATGTTGGCCAGGCTGGTCTTGAACTCCTGACCTCAGGTGATCCAGCTGCCTTGGCCTCTCAAAGTGCTAGGATTACAGGTGTGAGCCAACACACCCAACTGAGAAAGGAGTTAATTACAACAGAACTTCTTCTCTGGTTCTAGAATAAGAATAAGCCTACACTTATCAGAAGGATGACTATCTTACTTAGCTTTTCAGGGGTAAGATACTCTTGGCAAGCTTTGACTCACAGTTTCATTTCTTGGTAAATAAAATATTTATCCTCATTTTGTGAATATCAATTCCTAGTCATTTAAATGAATCACATCTCTATTAAATTGCTTATCTGGTACTAGTCCATGTAATCTAGTACAATTCTTGAATATGTAGCCTTTAATTTTTATATTGTTTTTAAAATTTTCCCCTTTACTTATTCAAAGGATACCATCCAAAATTAGTTTAGTGAGAGCATGATACGCCGACAGATCACAAATTTCAGAAATGTGGTTGTGGGAAAAGTCCGCCTTCTGGCAAGAAAAAGAGAACAAAATGTTACATTAATATTTTATTTTTCATATTTACCACAATTAACTGCACAAGAAGAAGGTATTTCCGAATGTAAAGTTAGAATTCATTACTGAAAGTACACTAAGGCTAAAGGAGTCATCTGTCTTTAATCTTTTTTTTTTTTTTTTTTTTTGAAATGGAGTGTTGCTGTGTTGCCCAGGCTAAAGTGCAGTGGTATGATCTCAACTCACTGCAACCTCCGCCTCCCAGGTTCAAGCGATTTTCCTGCCTCAGCCTCCTGAGTAGCTGGGATTACAGGTGCCCACCACCACACCCAGCTAGTTTTTTTGTATTTTTAGTAGAGATGGGGTTTCACCATGTTAGCCAGGATGGTCTCAATCTCCTAACTTCATGATTCACCCACCTCAGCCTCCCAAAGTGCTGAGATTGCAGGCGTGAGCCACCGCGCCCAGCCATTTAATCATTTTCTAACTGGGATACTTTCTGTCCACCTTGAGAATAGTAAGAAGGCCTCTTCCTTATGGTGCACAGGAACCTCCCAATAACCTAAACACTTTCAATTCCTGCAGCCATGCTCTCCACTTTTAGCATTTATTTTAAATTTCCTTGGTCTTCCTGCAGGATTTACCTCAATTTCATCCTTACCTACAACCATTTTATTTTCTCTACTGCCCAGTAAACTGTATTCACTTCATTTCTGTGCATATCTTCTTTCCTGTTCCTTTACCTTTTCTATTCCTATTTCCATATATTGTCCCATGATACTCTCTAAATGCCAAAATATTCAATTTTTTTTTTGAGGTGGAGTCTCACTCTGTTGCTCAAGCTGGAGTGCTGTGGTGCGATCTCAGCTCACTGCAACCTCCGCCTCCCGGGTTCAAGCAATTCTCCTGCCTCAGCCTTCCAAATAGCTGGGACTGTAGGCGTGTGCCACCGCACCCGGCTAATTTTTTTTTTTTTTTTTTTTTTTTTTTTTGTATTTTTAGTAGAGACGGGGTTTCACTGTATTAGCCAGGATGGCCTCGATCTCCTGACCCACCTCCTGGTCCACCCGTCTCGGCCTCCCAAATTGTTGGGATTATAGGTGTGAGCCACCATGCCTGGCCTAGTCTTTCTTATTCATCTCCAGGCAATGCCTCTTCAACTTTACATTCTTTCTCAAAGTTGACTACTGTAGGAAAGCATTTTCAGCAACATCTGTTGTTTCTAGTCAAACATGTAAGACTAAAAAACAATATTAAATAACTTTAATTATTCACCTACTGGCAAAAGATAAACAAAAAAGTTTTTTTAAGGAAAGAAAAACTCAAGTTTTAGAAACACTGCATTCATAATATGCTGGGTACATGATAATCATTTTCAGGAAAACTATCAATCAATTACATAATAAGTGCTATTTTTATTTTTCCATGTCCTTTAAAATAGTGATTTCACCCCCCAAATTTATGGAGATTATTTTAGCAACACATTAAATACTAAATCCTTTAAATACTAAAAACTTTATATAGTAAATACTAAAAACTAATTTAGATACAACTCAAATGGCATAGAAAACTGATGAAGTGAATTGCAATATAGCAAGCAACAGGACTACTTAGTAAAATATAAGTGAGCAGACCATATGAAGAAACAGAAATGTACAAATAAAAGTGTTACTAAAAAAATCAGAACACCAAATGTATGCATATGCAAATGGGAGCTAGGTAAAATGCATACTATGAAATAAGTCAGTTTGGCATGATGTAAATGGAGTTTAACGTTCATTTTTTTCTTCTATAGAATAATAATAAACTAGGAATAAACTTATCATATAGGGCTTACTTATCATTGACACGTTTTCATGAACACCTTTCATTCTGGTGCTTCTGGTGCCATAGCATGACATCTATGTAACTACACTTCAGGCAGGGGAGCTAATACTATGCTCTCTATGTAGCTATGGTATTAGATTTCTTTTGCTTTTCTTTTTTTTTTTAGATGGAGTCTCACTCTGTCGCCCAGGCTGGAGTGCAGTGGCTCAGTCTTGGCCCACTGCAACCTGAGCCCCCCAGTTCAAGCGATTCTCCTGCCTCAGCCTCCTAAGTAGCTGGGACAATAGGCTCCCACCACCACGCCAGGCTAAATTTTGTATTTTTAGTAGAGGCGGGGTTTCACCATGTTGACCATGGCTGGTCTCGAACCCCTGACCTTAAGTGTCAGCCTCCCAAAGTGCTGGGATTACAGGCCTGAGCCACTGCGCCCAGTCAGTTTTCTTGAAAGACCTTAAAGGGGTTTGTGCCACTGTTTGGACTCCCATTGGAACCTAGAGCTTGGAAAAAGTAGCCATCAAGTCCAATTAACATTTTTCACCTAGTAAGAGCAAAAGCATTCTAATAAATACAAAAAGAGTGTACGTACAAGTCCCCACTCTAGCAAATGCATGTTCTCTCTGGTTGGTGGTACCAGATTCATAGATATTAAATGAAAAGGAAGTGGAGCTTCTCAAGAGGGTGGGGGATAGTACACGAGCCTGACTTACTGGAAAGAAGTGAGCTGTGGGGTCTCAGACGGCGGGTTCAATCCCAGTTCCGCTACCTCCCAGCAAAGGTGAAGTTAGTTACTTACCCTTTCATGCTTCAGCATCAGGACAGTATCAGCTGCCCCACAGCTTTATTGGCGGGATTAAATAATACATTGAAAACACCTGAGGCTGGGTGCAACAGCTCACACCTGTAATCCCAGCACTTTGGGAAGCCAAGGCGGGCAGATCACCTGAGGTCAGGAATTTGAGACCAGCCTCGTCAACATGGTGAAACCCCATCTCTACTAAAAATACAAAATTAGCCAGGTGTGGTGGTTCATGCCTATAATCCCAGCTACTCAGGAGGCTGAGGTAGAAGAATTGCTTGAACCTGGGAGGTGGAGGTTGCAGTGAGCCAAGATCTCGCCATTGCACTCCAGCCTGGGCAACAAGAGTGAGACTCCATCTCAAAAAAAAAACAAAAAAAGAAAAGAAAAGAAGACAAACACCAGGAAGCCACCATCATTCCTTCCCAGGTCTACAC